CTCAATCTGCTCTACACGTTTACAAATATCCAAAAGATTGAGCGGTTGACGTATTTATATGCAGACATTTGCCATTGATTCTACCCGCTTCAATCGAAACAGCATGCTATTGTTAAAGAAAAAATGAGAAAAATTGTACATGAAATTGATTTTCTGATTGATATACAAACATTTTTTCTGTAAAAATAAAACAAGATGATGTTTGAGACATGGGGAAATTCATGGGGGATTTGTGTTTTTTTCTTCTTTCCAACAGAACAAAAGAGTTGGGTAAGGCACAATCAAAACATGCTTGCTTTTCAATGCGATTTTCATCTTGGATCGAAAAAAACACATAATTCAACCACTTTCGTGAAAATGAAATGTCAAGAGTCAAAAATGATTGTGTTCATTGAACAAATGACAGTAGCGTTAAAAACGGACCGTTAAATTCACGAAACACACATTTACCAGCACCGCTTGATTCAATAGTATTGGTGTATGCGAATTCGATGACATTTCTCGATCACATTTGACTGTGTGTGCAACAGACTAAACAGTAACGTGAAACAGTGCGGTTGTTGCTTGTGTGACACGAAGAAAAAATTGGCAATTTTATCGGATATATCGGCACAAAAATGGAAGAAAGTTCAGATGAATCGATTGGTTGGGCGGATTTATCAAACGACAACAATGAACCGGCCTTATTTATGTATGCCAACAACGAAACAAATTTCGAAGAAAACGTTCACATCAATGTCAGTGTTTTGAATGTGAGCAAATTAGAGATCAGCGATGTGCTAACCTCAAAAGCGATTTTCATCCAGAGTTTGCCATTTGTCATTCAAGTTGTACGAGAAAAGAAGGGTAGCGGGACAAAAAAGAATAAGTTGAGTGTGCTGAAAATTCGATTGAAAGCCGAAAAGCAAATTGATTCGTGGTCAACTCGAATTGCGGTTAAATTACATGCAACTGAAAGTGAAAAGCATCCAATCGCAATCAATGTATCGTGCGAAACAGATTGGGGCAGTGGTGAAAGTCAAACGTTGCACACGCTCGAATGGGAAAGCGTCGCCGAATTGAAAGATCTTCTGTTTGAGATCGATATTTCTGCTGATTTCCCGAAAGGATCTTATGTTTGGCCATCGCGCGATGCAACCGGCTACAGTGGCCTCCAGAATGAAGGTGCCACCTGTTACATCAATTCGTTGCTGCAGTCATTATTTTGCACAAATGAATTTCGTCGTCTTGTGTACGGTCTAGAGATCGAACCAGAGGATGTCAATGATTCATTCGTTTTTTTGGCTGAAATACATATTTTACGCGATGCAGTTCGGTGGATTGAGCAAAATCCGAACAATCAACATGATCCAATGTTTTGATTGGGAGGAAATGACCACCACAGCGCAACAAGATATTCATGAATTCTTGCGGCTCCTGATAGATAAGCTAGGGCAGTTCGTCGACGGTACAGAATTCAAAGAGCGCTTGACACAATTGTTCGTTGGTCAATTGGAAAGCACAATCACATGCAGTGAAGTCAATTTCGAGAAGAAAAGGTCAGAAACGTTCTGGGATCTTCAGCTGCCTATCGAAGATGATGATGAGATATTTGGAGCGTTTCGAACGTATTTGCAGCCAACTAAAATTCCTGAGTAAGTTTGGTCGATTTTCTTTCCTGTTTTGAGCACATTTCTGGCCTATTTCAATGAATATTCACGGGTGTTCTTGCGTTCCATCCAGTTACGAACATGAAAGTGGTAAAGTGGAAGCGATACAAGAGTACAAGTTTACCAGTTTGCCGGCCATATTGCATGTACAATTGCGGCGGTTCAATTTCAACCCAATGACCAAAACAACAAGCAAAAACAACAAACGATTCCAATTCTACCCGCAGCTCGATCTGAGTATCTACTGTGAAGATGCGATATATACGCTACATTCCATTTTGGGTAAGTGTTTTTGACTAATTGCTGATTAATCTTCAGCTTTTTGCATATTTTATCGACATTTCGAACGACTTCAACATTCTCCGCAATTTTGTTCTTCGTTCAATAGTTCATTCGGGCAGAAACACGTCGGGTCATTACATGGCATACGTTTGCCCAAAGGCCGATGGTAAATGGCTTAAATTCAACGATGAAACGGTTACCAAATGTTCACTACAAGATGCTGTCGAGGGGAACTTTGGTAACGACGATGCGAGCACAAAAAACGCATACATTTTGGTTTACATAAAAAAATCGTGTATTCCGAATATTCTTCGAGACATCATATTGGATGACGTCATTTCATTGGATTTGATCAAAGCCGAAATGAGTAAACAGAAGATGGACACATTGTTCAAAGAAAAATACATTGAAGTTACCGTTCATACGGCAGAGAAGCTTCAAATGAGTGACAATCTCAAGTGCGGTAAATTGCTTATGGAACAACGATTTGGTATGACATTCACGATAGCAAAGAACAAGAGTTTTGGTGATTTGTTACTGCTATTAAGATCTGGATTCGGTCTGAGCGATACAAAAATTGGGTTATGGTTTATAACCTCAAAGAAATATTGCATACGTTCATTTGATATTCAAGCGAGATTGAACCAAATAATCAGCAGTGTAGTCAAGAAGAATTCGCTTAATCTGTTCATGGAGCTCCTGTCATTCGAGGAGCCTAACGCGAATATCTTCGATATGCAGAAGCACGCATTGATTTTTATCAAGGAATACGATCCATCAACTGAAAGTCTGACATTCGTCGGTCATCGGTATTTTGAATTGGAGCAAACAGTTGACGATTTGCGAGCATTCATTCGAGAGACTATATACTATGAAGGCAACGATGAAGATATGGCCATCATTGTGGAAACGGGCTTCGACGAAAACTATCGCCAAAATGTGCTCGTCGATCCAAAGCAACTCATTCAAAAGTTTGCTACAAAAAATGTTGACACGTTCTCTGCATTCGTCACTATTGAAGTATTGAATTCAAATCGAAAACCAAAGTATCTGTCAGCATTTTCTAATCTCCAAAGTCCAGTTGATCTATCACCAGTGAATCAAATCCGAAAACAAATAGTAACAGATCTGGATAATGGCATCATTATAACCGTCAATCATGGAGAATGCGAGCTGTTCTCAGAGGAATTTGACATTCGTACCAATCTCGATGGAATCATTGAACATATTTGTAATATCCTTGTGAGTGAATTTTCATGGTTTTTACTGAAGAAATTCATTTGTTACTAAATTCACACTGATAAAATTCTCTCGAACGTTTCTAATTCCAGAGTATCACATGTGATTGTGTTCAGCTTTTGGACGAACAGAATAATATCATTGAGAAAGATTTCCTCGGTGAAACCATTCAAAATTTCACCAAAGGACGTTTCAATAAACTTATGCGAACACGTAATCAGAAGCAGACGGGATTGGTTTTTTCGTGCATAGTGATTGAACATCGGGAGAACCCACCATCAGACAAAACCGATCTTGAATTCAACACGTCATCATTTGCTGAACGAATGGAGTGCGAATCTCAAAGTGATTCAATACAACTGATTGGTTGTGCAGACGCTCAGAAGCGTTTTACTCCAGTACCCTTCATGGTGAAGTTGGAAAATCTACACGACTCAAGTGATTCAATGACTTTGGATTGTGAAAGAGGCGAAACGTTACAATCTATTTTAGACCGATTTTCAAACAAAGTCGATAGAAAACTATCGGAACTCGTATTTTCGAAAAAAGATTCCGAATTATTTGAGAAATCAGCATACAAGTGTGCAATCGAACAGTTGGCTGAATGTGATGATGCGGATCATGTTGAAATCTTCTACGAAGTGAAGGACGATCGGTCATGGAAACGGGCTCCCAACAAAAAGTCATCGCCTGACCCTATAGTAGTTTCAATCACCGGCGATCGGGACACAGTTAAAGAACACAGAATACAATTTGAAGATCGCCTCACGGGAAATTGCGAAATCGATTTAGAATTTAGTGCTAGAGCTCGTCTATCAGCAGCGATCGAACAAATAGTCCAGGTCATGGAATTGAATAGATCAAACACACATTTTTTCAACTCAAAAGGTGCGTCGGCTTTCGATTTAAGCTCAATTTCGATGAAAAGATATACAATTCAATTCGATTTAACATCGGATCGATTTAAACGTATAAATTTCGATTTTTCAGGCGAACGGATTGACGAAGATATGATGAACACCACGGTAGCCAAGTTTTTGGCGAAAAATTCCCCAAAAATTGCATACAAATTGGCAAATTCGCAGGAAATCCAATTGCAATGCGTTCGACCGAATGGAACTAAAGCAGATGAACAGCGTTTTCAAATCGACGAGAACACAACGGTTGGACAGCTCTGTGAGAAAAACTGCCCTAACGGTCTGCTGCAAAAAGTCACGAAAATAACTAATGGCCACATAGTCGGGATTTTACCAGCCGAGACTAAGGCAGTTGATTTGAGTAGCGATGGACATGAGTATCGAATCAATCAGTTTTTCCATGGAATTGCGTTGGGCAAAGATCGGCTTTTGGTCAGTGTATCGTTTTTGGGAAATAATCGACGGAAGCGTTTGCCGATCTTAGTCGAAGTATCAAATGGTGAAACATTTTTGGCATTAGGCCTGAGATTGATGCAAATCCTCCTCGTGAATATGCATAATAAGCCAAAATTCGAATTCAATGTTGATCCAAAGTGGACACACACACCAGAAAATGAAACCATTCTGGTGGCACCCAGTGATTTAAACGACATTCCATTGGTCTGTGTTCTGAATGATATTTAATTTCACTTCAAAAATATCGAATTTATCCGTTTAGAAACGATAAAAATCACAAACTATGTACAGTGTACACCTACAAAGAAGAAAATAGATAGAATACTCTAATGTACAATGCAGGCATAAGTTAAGAAACTTTTATAAATTAAATAAAGAAACATTTGTTCTGTCAAACATTGAAAAAGAAAACTTAATCATTTTGCTTCATTTAAATTAACCTCCACCAAACAGTTTGAACAACGAATATACCTGATGGAAATGCCCAGTGAGCGATTGCAGCGCCATTTTGACACTTCCAGTCGGTGTGTATGGCGTCGCATTTTCCAGTCCAGGAATATTCGTTCGGCTGTCAAATTAACGCGGAACATAGAGAATGTGTCAACAAATTTACAATGGCATAACAAAAAAATTCGATTTCATGTGAATATTGTATCAATTGTAGCCATTTTTATAGAAAAATGTAATCTGGAATGGCGACCCATTAATCCGAGTGTAGTGAAACAAAAATTACGAGTCAACTAATAAATCTCTTTGCGGTGTGAACATTTTTGGGCTGTTGTTTGTAGGTGAATACGTAAAAAAACACCAAAATTCAGTGACGCGATTTACAAATTCTGGTATGGTGATTCCGTGCAAATTGTTCGGCGTAATTACATTGGAAAAGTATTCAGTTGCAAACTCATGACATTCGAACGATTGATTTACATTTTAGGTTATTTTGTAAAGTGTTCAAAAGCATCGATTGAAAATGAATGATTCGACGGTAACGAATGCAGTCGGTTTTAATTTGAACAATGGACAAACCATGGCTAAACCGCTGTACATTCAACGGCTCGAAGCCAGTCTGAATATCGAACCATTTATGACATACGCACAAGAGATTCTGGCTCAACCTCTGTCCAGCAGCGAAGAGTCTGACTCTGATGTCAACACCGATATTCTGGCGCCCGATGAGAAAATTATGAATGGCATCGTCACATCGAAATGCGGTATGTAAACATGTATTCATATGCTCCACACCTATTAGTTTATATCAAGTTGACTAATGACATTTATGTTCTGTAGATCGGCAAAATGATAAACTACAAATCTATAATTTGTCACAAATTGGGCCGGATCGAAAGTGGCTGCAGGACATATTGCTCAGCGATACAGAAACGGAACCCGAACCATCCGATGAGGACGAGTACATTCGTGATATGCTGAAAGAGCATGTTAAAGAGAAGAAAGTTCGAGCAAAATACTATCAAAATCCTCACGTAAGTTTGTTGGCTCAATTTTGTTTGTTTATTTACTCGTTTTAACCGAGCTGTTCGTTTACAGAACTCACAATATGGCTACTATGGTGCGAGCATTCTGTCAAATGTGGACATGTATCACGAACATCAGCGCAAAATCGTGGGTATAACAAAGAAAAAGAAGGAAAAACTCACAAAGACTGGCAAATATCGAAAGTCAAAGAAGAAGCGTGGCGTGAAAGCCGAAAATAATTTGGAACCCGGTGAAATCGTTTGGGATGACGATATGTCGTTGACAAAGGATGATTCAAATGATCGTGGCGATTTTAAAGGTGAGATTGCCCTCACGAAAAAGCAACGAAAGAAAAATGCACTGAGTAAAACACCGGAAGCAATTGCGGCCCGCCGTCGGAAATTGTGGATTTTAATGGCGAAAAAAGAGCTGGGCAAAGTGCAACGGGCGAAAGTGAACAATCACAAGGAAATTGTGAGCAGTTGTAAGCGTATTTCGACGCTATGCATGAAAACGTTCCGACAGAAGGCCATGCAATCGCAAAAAAATATGAAGGAAACGATATGGCGTGCCAAGAGATTAACCAGAGAAATGCAAGGCTATTGGAAGCGATATGATCGTGTCGAACGAGAGACAAAACGACGCATGGAAAAAGAAGCCGAAGAACAGCGAAAGGTATGCGATGCAATTTTACTTACAATTGGAATTACGTTCGAGCGTATGCAGTGGAAAAAAATATATCATTTGTTCCTTCTCTTTCTAGATGGATATCGAACTCATTGAAGCGAAGAGACAACAACGAAAGTTGAACTTCTTGATTACGCAAACGGAATTGTATGCGCATTTCATGTCGAAGAAATTGGGCAAAGGTACCGAAGAGGAGCAGTTGCGCATTCTAAATCAATTGGATGAAGAGGTGAATCCTCGACTGGCCGCTCTAGATGACTATAACAGCGATAAAATGAAGCAATTGGCACAGAGACAGGCAAAAGAAGCATTCCAAACGGAACGCGAACGAACAAAAAAGTTTGATACACTGAATAAACAGGACCCACTGTCACCATTGCAACTGCACACTGACGGCAGCATAGAGGAATTACCACAGCCAAGCATATTCCAGGGTGTCCTAAAGGGCTATCAAATCAAGGGAATGACATGGTTGGCCAATCTCTATGACCAAGGCATTAGTGGCATTCTAGCCGATGGTGAGTACTTAGTTTGACTATGCGTTCAGTCTACGCTAACATTCGCATTGATTTTCTTTGCTTTCTTCTTCCAGAAATGGGTTTGGGAAAGACTGTGAGTATTATTTTGATCAATTCAATTGTACACTTCATTCGAAAGCTATATCTAACATCAACGTTTCGCGTTTTTTAGGTTCAATCAATCGCATTTTTGTGTCACATTGCCGAGCATTATGGCGTATGGGGACCATTTTTAATTATTTCACCGGCATCTACGTTGCACAATTGGCAACAGGAGATGCAACGTTTTGTACCTGATTTCAATGTTGTCCCCTACTGGGGATCGCCAAACGAACGTAAAATTTTGCGTCAATTCTGGGAACAAAAGGATTTACACACAAAGGAAGCGAGTTTCCACGTTGTTATCACTAGTTATCAGTTAATTGTTTCGGACTATAAGTATTTCAATCGCATCAAATGGCAATACATGATACTGGACGAAGCGCAAGCCATTAAGAGTTCGTCGTCAGTGCGATGGAAATTATTGCTGGGATTTAACTGTAGAAATCGTCTTCTGTTAAGTGGAACACCAATTCAAAATAGTATGGCTGAGCTGTGGGCGTTGTTACATTTTATCATGCCGACTCTGTTCGATTCTCATGATGAATTTAACGAGTGGTTTTCAAAGGACATTGAAAGTCATGCAGAAAATAAAACGGGCATCGATGAAAGTGAGTTGTTTTGAACGGAAATTTTAGGTTAACGAAAAATCAAACGATTTCAATTCATTGCGTAATTTTACATTTGCAGAACAAATTTCGCGATTACACATGATTTTGAAGCCATTTATGTTGCGTCGCATAAAGAAAGACGTTGAAAATGAATTGTCTGATAAAATTGAGATTATGATCTATTGTCCACTGACAATGCGCCAGAATTTGCTGTACTTGGCACTGAAGAAGAAAATCCGCATCGAAGATTTGCTTCAATACACCGACCGAGCATCGGACCACGTGGTTGACAAAAATTTTACATCGAATTTAATGAACTTGGTTATGCAATTCCGAAAAGTGTGTAATCATCCGGATTTGTTTGAGCGACGCGATGCCAAGAGTCCATTTTTCATGAAATGCCTTGAGTATCCGATCGCTCGACTCATTTACGAAAACAGCACATTACAAACTGTAATTCCAAGCAAAGAGCATTTGCTGTATAATCGGTAAGCGAAAATAGTAGAAAATCAAATTTTGTCTTTGGGAAAAAAACGAATGGTTTTTTAAAACTAAAACTTGGTCGGAAACTAAAACTCTATTCATAAAACAGTACAATAATTACTTTATTAAAGTAATGTGTACGTAATGGATATGAAAATTAGCTGAAAATTCCCACAAATTAACAAATGAGTATTTAGCATTACCGAATTTGTATTATAATTGGATTTTTTTAGTGATTTTTGCATACAAATATCCAGCTCAGCGCAATGATAAAATGAAATTGTCTGAAAAAAGAGTCTGGCTCATAATACTATACAATGTATAATACATTTTCAATCAATCAGGATTTTCATTCTGAATGATATTTATTAATTTTTTTTCTCGCAGGTTCAATATGTTCAAAGCGGAAAATGTGCAGCGATCCCTTTTCCCACAAAATCCGACCGATCGAGAAGTTGACTACGAAAATGTCATCGATTTGAATTTGGGAAATAGTTTTTCGTTCAGTCGATTTTGTGATTGGAGCCCACAAGATCTGGAAGACACACATCTGAAGGGTACATTGGTTGCCCTTATTAAGCAAAACTGGATGAATGACACGCTAAAGTGGATACAGCATGCAAAAACATGGAATCAAAATATACCGTCGAAATATTTATTGTTAACGGCTTCGGTGTCGTTGGCAATAGTATCACTAATCGAATCGGAGCACAGTTTAATCTTCACGAGATGGGTAAGACAAACGACTTGATCTATCAATAAATTTGGGAAATTAATGTTTCTCCTTTCATTTGATTCAGGTGTCTGCGCATCCATTTTTCACGTTTACCGAACACATAATACATTCTATGGCTGAAACGATCGAGCATCGAATCATTCGAAGTAAATCGCATAAAAAAATGAAATCCGAACCACTCATAGAAGAGATTAATGAAAAAGTGTCAAAGAAAGAGGATTGCAATATATTGCCGGAGCATCATTATATTCCACGACCGCCACGGCACTTGATATGCGAACCAACTGCATTGCCTGCTTTCGTCGCCGACCTTGCACCCAAAGTTCAAAGTACCCGGAGAAAATACTAGTAAGTTTGATAAATGAAATGTTTGGATTGAGAAAGGAATGCTAAGTGTCATTGTAATTGCAGTGTCGACAGTAGAGAAGCGTCTTGGCTACGCGTCAGGAATGAGAGTTGTGAAAGTAGGGAAGCTGCAAAGTTGTTGGGAGTTGGTTTCGACCAGTGTCGACCGTCAGTCGGATGGTCAAACATTCAAATACCCGATAAACAAGCACTCATAACCGACTCCGGCAAACTCTCCTATCTGGATGGTTTACTGAAACGTCTGAAAGCACAAAACCATCGTGTGCTCATTTACTCACAAATGACGCGAGTCATTGATTTGTTGGAGGTGAGTTTACGGATTAAACAACGAATTGTATTTACGAGACAGAAATGACATATTGTTTTCTATTTGAATCAGGAGTACATGTGGCATCGCAAACATCGTTATATGCGATTGGATGGGTCAAGTAAGATATCTGCTCGTCGTGACATGGTTGCCGATTTCCAAAAACGAGACGACATTTTTGTCTTCCTACTCTCAACGCGAGCTGGTGGTTTGGGTATTAACTTGACTGCTGCTGATACCGTCATATTTTACGACTCTGACTGGAATCCAACGGTCGATCAACAAGCCATGGATCGGGCGCATCGTCTTGGTCAAACTAAACAAGTGACCGTGTATCGATTGATTTGCAAAGGCACGATTGAAGAACGAATTTTGCAACGGGCACGTGAGAAGAGCGAGGTAAATACAAGTAAAAAATATAGTTGTAACCGTTCAATTTGAACTAAATACATACTCAAGCTTAGTTGGTTAAACCAATTTGATTTTATGATGAGCTTAAAATCATAAATTTCAGATTCAACGAATGGTGATCAGTGGAGGAAACTTCAAACCGGACACACTTAAGCCAAAAGAAGTCGTGTCACTTCTACTCGATGACGAGGAAATTGAACTGAAATGTACGTCTATAAGATGAGCGACCCATTAATGAAGAGTCTTCACTCTGTGTGCAATTTATTATTTTAATCGTTTATTCTATCAATTCAAATCTTCTTATTCGATTCAATTGTGTAGATCGTCAACGAAATGAAGAGAAGAAGCGAATGGCACAAGAAGAGAATATGCGATTGGAGGCTGAGAAAGAACGCAAACGAAAGGCACTTACTATGTCGAAAGTGAGTTAAATCATAATTATTTTTTTTTGTAAAATCAAAAATTCCAATGTTCATTTTTATTCCACTCAGAGTGACGAGCAAATCAAGAAATTCCGCTCGGACAAGTCATACGGAGAGTCATCGTATACAGATTTAAGCGAAAAGAGTAGTCCAGCTGAATCGCTGCTCGAGCAGCCAGTCAACTATGAGTCGAGCAGTGAAACAGTGGTTGTTGATTGTGATAGTCTATCGAATTCCAGTTCACAAACCTTTTTGGTTGATGATTTGGCGAATCGATATCGTAAACCACCACCGACACGTGGTGCAAAACGAGGCCGACCACGCGGTTCGAAGCGTGGAAATCGTGGCGGCCTAAGCAGAGATGCCATTGGTACCATAAAAACACCTGCCGCAAATGAGAGTTCAGATCAATCGTATGAATCTACAATCAATCCAAATGTGAATAAAGTGCGAAGGGGCCCCGGTCGTCCACGACTGAAACCAAACGGTCCAAGCAATCAAGGCAATCGACACGTACCGAAATACCGTAAGCCAATGGCGCCGTTAGTTGTACCTCTTGGCTCAAGCCCAGCACCAACACCAACCGTACGAAGCCCTGCAATGAGCCCGGAACGATTATAGCGCATCGTCTCGAAATCCCATAAACGAATCATTTAGATTAGGTGTAAAATAATTGTAATATTCATGACATAACAAATCGCCGAACAAAAAATTATTACAGAAGCATTCAGAAAAGTCATTATATTCATTTTTTTTTTGCTATTGTGGTTTGGGTGCATTATACGGAATGATTTGAAAATCTTGTAGATTTCACATTTTAAAAAATTCCAAAATTTTATTTCGTATTCGATGTAATAGAGTTTTTCGTGTCAAAGGCAATCTAAATAAAAGTTTCGCTCTTGTTCCAATATCTATGAAAATATGTCAGCAGTTCCGTTGTTTGTTTGCAATGCGAATTTCGCATGGCTTATTTCGATTTGTGTACAGTATAGCAAAGAGACGATACGTTCAACATTCTGCTGTGAAACATCGCCACGGAGAATATCGTGTTTGTGTTTCTGCTTGTGGCCGCATAAGCTCGGTTGACCAAAGCGATATCTAAAGAACCGATGGCGAGTTCGTGATGTCTGTATGTTATACTTCAGTATGACGTTTGACAGAACGGACAGTTTACTTGATTGTATTGTCATTAGCCTTAGATTATCTAGGTGGTGTTTGCGCTCAATATCAGTTGTCAAGTTCAAAGTGAATAGGAGAGTTGGGTCGCATACATCGTCATCTTTCGGTTGTGTTCAGTCGGAGCTGCGAAAATCGTATTCATATTGCTGTATTAGAAACAATTTCAGCAACGTTTTCAAACCAATCGGTGTTTATCACACAGTTTGACAGATAGCACAAAACAGCATTGCATTATTGATTGACAGTTTGGCGTGACCAGAAGCACATCAACACAATGGAGCAAACGGTAATTTTAGATGTTTTTTGTCGATTTTTCAACCAAATTTCTTTTTTTTCCCTTTCCCAATTTCAATTTTAACATTGTTGATCATAGATCAATTCATTGAACGTGGAAGTTGGCGTATTTTTACGCAATATAAATGCGTATACCAATCGCAAAGATGCTTGCATCGGCAATCAAACAGTCGCATTACTTATTGATGCTATTTCTTGTATCGATAAATTGGTGAACACGGCAAAAATTGCCGACGAAATGATGAACGAAACCAGCATTGACTTTCTGGACAATTTGGACGAACGATACTTTGAATTGCGTCGAAACATTGTGTGCCGGATGTGTATTGTAAGTTTGTTCTTGAGTAAAAAAAAATTTTCTTTTTCAAATGGCATCTGATGGAATGTAATGTAGAAAATCTCACTCGAACATTTAGGAAACGATGCCAATGACAAAAGATGATTTTGAAGCACACGTGAAAAAGGTTTCCCATACATTCCAAGTACGGAACATGCAAACACCATCCACTCAAAATCTTTTCGAGTCGCGCTCGTCAAAGCTAACCGATTACAAAGGTCAGCTAGAAAGCAGCCGTTCGGTAAATATTAACCATTTTCATAAAGTGTTGAGCTCAGCATTGGGCTGAAAATTCAAATATTTACAGGTTACAACTTGTGATGAAAGCAATCAAGACAAATACAGTTCCAACTTTTTTGGCGATTTGGTAATTGGCTCAACAACTGAACCGAACGTGAACAAAGCAAAACTGAATTACGAAAGTGTTTCCGAAACGGTTGATCGTGCACAACGTGAACAGATTGAAGAACGAATGCGCACAGAACGACTACGAGATAAAAATGATGAACAACGCAAAAAGGAAGGTATGACTAATGCTGTTGATGACAATCTCTCTATTGTTTCGAGAATAAAATAGATAACATTCTGTTGAACAATAGTTCAATTGTTAGATTGAGTTGATATTTATAAATTTTTGAACTGCAGCAGATTCATTGGAACATGTCATCGATGTAAAGTGGAAAGGGGTACGCGTGTTGGAATCATCCGACAGCGAAAGTTCGGACAGTTCGGCACATGGTTTCAATTATGATTCGCTCTACCTTGTGGAGGTTCGGGGTTTGCCACCGTCGACGTCACGACAAGAGGTCAAAGATTTTTTCAGCGGTGCCAGAATTTTGAACGGAATCAATGGGATTCACTTCATTCTGGACGAGATGTATCGAAAATGTGGTCGAGCATTGGTTCAGTTGGAATGCATCAAGGACTATCAATCGATCCACAAATATAACATGAACCGCTTGGGCGGTCGTTGTATTGAAGGTAATCAAAAAACATTGCGGAATAAGGACGTAATATTTTAACTAATTCTTTGCAATTTTTTGTAGTGACGACGGGCAACGTAAAAACGTTCAACGATATGATTGCAAAGCGAAAAATTCCATCGAAGGATCGCGTTATATTTGTTGAAGGTTTGCCACACAAATTCAACGAGCAAAACATTCGTTTCTTTTTCCATGGTAAATATGCATTTAGCTTAGGTCACTTTAGGGAAAATGGTTTCAATACATAAAACATCTGGTATCCATATTGTCAATAGGTCTACAGATTCAACGTATTCATGTGGTGCAAAGTGCTTCGAACTGCGCATATGTGAAATTCTCCTCGATGGACGATGTAGAAGATGCGATCAAGCGAAGTGACAAAAAATCAACCGTTCGCATTTATCGAAGTACCGATCAACAAATGCGCTCTTCTTATCAAGGCGGGCCGAAACATGAATCGTTGCCATCGTCCTCAGATCTCGACACACAAAAGGATGACGATTCGAAAAGTCGCAGTGATTCGAAAAGTTACAGTGGCGACAGTAAATTTGTGCGTGTGCGTGGCATTCCATGGGAAGTTGACGAAGATTTCGTCTACAATTTGTTTCCAGGTAATTCAAACACAAACTCTCTCCCAAACTTTCATTTCTAAAAACATCTTCTATTCACTATAAAACCAGGATTGGAAATTGACCGTCGTAATGGGATTCAACTGGAATATCATTCAAAAGGTCGTAATACGGGAACGGCTTTTGTTGAGATCAAAAATGCTGCCGATTTCGATATGGCAATGAAAGCTAATTTGACAGATACAAACCGGTAAACTAATTTCGTTTTACATATTTATACGATATAATTTGGAAATAGTGGAATCGCTCATCAATCGAATTCTTCCATTGGTTTTTAATTTAATCAAATTTCATAGAAATGTTACATAATCCGAGTCATGAGTCGAAATATTGCAACCCAAGTATGGTGGGAACGAATTTCGATCATTGCTATTCCATTATTATAGACAGGTTTAACTGCAAGACAATGAGAATTTAATTGCGTTTTGCTAAAATTAAAATTTTATCTTCTGACATTCATTCAAGGTACTTGAAAGTGACGAAAGCAACAAAGGCCGAATTTCTCTTGACCAAAGAAGCCAATAACTCGTAGAAAAGCTGATTATTTTCATATTTGACTTTGAAACTTATCAACTGTTTTTGAAACCACTTCTGAACAACTACATAAACATAAGAGAAAAAAACTTAAAATTGACAAACAAATTTAAAAAAATGAAGAAAGAAATTGCAATAAACAAAGAAAAAATTTCCTGAATAAGAATATTGTACCGTGAAAATAAGCCGGCAATAAAATTTTTGAGCTGTTGCTCATACATACACTGCAGTCTGTGTGCGCTCTTTCATTTACCCATAGGATTCGATGAGTTCGCACGAAGATGAATAAGAAATAAAGACAATAATTGATTTGTATTTGCGTTGTATTGCTTGCCGCAGAGAGTTGGAGAGAGAAAGAAAGAGAACCCATGTCAGTCGATTTTATGACTCAAAGTCGACACAGTCGTAAACCGTTCGTTTGATTCGATTCTATGCCTTACATTTTCTCTGCTCCTTTTTGTTCGATGCTTCGTATTTCATTTGACAAACAGTCGACATCGTTTGTGTATTGGTATAGCACGCTCGGCATTTCTTTGTGGACATTCTGTTAGTTAACGTCAAAAAAGAAGCTGCAATCTGTTGAAGCAACAGCATTTTTGTTAATAATAAAGTTTTCTGTGCATTATAAGAGTTGATGTGCAAAGTTGGTGTTGTGTTAATGTTGAAATGGATCCATTGCGAAAAATTCATTTGAATTTTTCCAATAAAAATTCAGAAATTCGCGTTAAAGTGAAATTTGGTCAAAAACTAAAAAAGGCCATGAACTTTTATTGCAAACATTTCAAAATGGAACCATTTGAAGTGGCCCGTTTCTTTCACCAGGACAAAGAATTGTTTGAAACTGATTCGCCTGAATCCGCTGAATTGGTCGATTCCGCAACAATCAATGTTTTAGTTCACAATCCGCACAGTAAGTATAAACAAGTGCCAGGACGAGTTGTGTGTGTGTGTTTGTATCGTTCATGTGATCAGAGTGTGCATAAACGTGCTTAAGCTGCCGTGTTTCGTTGTGTCTCGTTGTGTTAGTCTTTTTTATTCAACTTTGATTGGATGTAAACGCATTTTAACTTTATGCTCGATTATCATTTTGTTTTGGATTTTTAGAAGCATCAAACACAGTGGCGAAAACCGAACCAAACTCGGACGAATATCACTCTCCAACCGATTCAATTCAAAACTCGGTAGGCAGCCATTTTTTCGTTTAGTATCATATTTTTGGATTTTTTTTTTCATAGAAATAAAATGTGTTAAATAATAATTTCATTCGTCTTTTGCTCAGGAATCGCATGCAATGCATTCTGCCTCAGATGGTAATCAGCAAGTTGTTGATTCGCTGACGATGGATCAAATGGAATCGATTAATGAAACGGAACCTCAATCTAATGGCTCAGCTACAGATTTGGATCAGATTCACATTTCGGTAGGCACATGATTCTATGTCGCATCACCTTCTCAATTAACAATTTCTTTCATGTTATGCTACAGGATCCTGAATCGCATGTGAAGGCTTCGAACGATGGAAATGTGAAACGAAAGGGCGACAATGACAATGATCCCAGTGAATTATCTGCTAAAGTCACCAAAATGATGGAGCACTCTGATCCTGTTGAAAAGAACAAGCGCTGGGACGAGATCGAACGTTTCTTGGACGATTTGGTAACCATTGGTGAAGGAAGTATTGATGCATTTTACGTCTCTGATGTTGAGCCTTTGAAAGAAACCATAAGAAAGTACGAAAGCCAAGGCGAACAACTGAAACTGGATCTGAAGCAAGCAGAAAATAAGTGCCTATATTTACATAGTGAAATGCAACGTTTGCGTGATGCCATGGAAAAATTAAAGGTTCAAAACGCGGAAGAGATGAAGGCATTGCAATCGAAACAACAGGACGAAAGTTTCAAAGTGAAACGTGAACAAAGCGAAATAGAAGCAGAGATTGAACGTAGAGTTGCACTTCGATTCAAAGATTTGAGCAACGCATGCAAAAATCAAATTGAGCAACTGGAACAGCGACACAAAGTTGTACTGGGTGAACAACAGCAAACGACACAAGCGGCTGTATCTCAACTGGATGAGGCGAAACGGACGCACTTGGCTGAAATGGAAATGTGGAAGCGAGATTGCGCCGATCTGAATGGGAAATGTGAATTTCTTTTGAAGAAACACGAAGCGGACATGCTTGGGCAACAACAAGCCTTTGTCGACCAACAAAAAGCAGCCGAAAACGAAATACATCGCCTCAGAATGCATTACGAAAGCCAACTAACGGCTTGGCGAACGAAATACACCGAGCTGGAAGTGTCACATGCCAAAAATGCCGAAAAAGAGAACAACGGGGGGATTGCAAAACGTGACGAATCCATTGCTTCGTATATCAAAAAAGTGCGAGAGTCACACGCAGCCATTGCACAATGGCAGCAAAGCTATGCCGGATTGAAAAAGGTATACCAAGATTTGTCACAACGGTACAACAAGGATATTGTGCACCAGAATAACGCCATCGTCAACCAGAAAACTCAGTACCAAGGTCAAATCAAAGACTTAGAACAGAAGTTAAATGAACTGAAAGCAGAATCGGACAAACAAATAGTTTCATTGCAATTTGAAAAAAACGACTACATCAGTAAATGGAAGGCTAAGGAACAAGCCTGTGCCCAACTGAATGCCCACATCGAATCAATGAAACGAGAATATGACACTCGAATGTTGCAGATGCGCCAAGAATTGATGATGCATCTCCAAAATCGAGTAAATGTGCCAATCCCGACGCCATCACCAGCATCAACACCACAACCACCCGAATCAACGCCAACACCACCACCAACAAATTCCAACAATGTGTCCAATCAAAAACTTGGCCAGAAAAAATGCTTGCAATGTGGTTGTTCATGCCGAAGAGCCATCACAATCCCCTACTGCAATTCGAACTGCAAACAAGAGTATTTGTAAGTACATCGATTGTTTGAAACAAAAATGAAACCAATGAACATTTTTCTTCGAAATTATCATTCTACCAAAATGTTCCCTCTTTTCTTCTTGGTTCATAAAAGTAAGGAGCAATGTAAACAGTTGGCAGCCAAACAAACGGACGTCTAAGGGAAACATGTGTAATACGCATCACTTTATGATTCACTTTCGAACGTAAGTAGGGAATAACAATTTTATGCATTCGCTAAAATTCCCATCATCAGTGTTTTTCCCTAGTTTAAAATGATACCTAAGAGGTGATTAATATAACTTTTTCTTTTCTCTCTTCTTCTCTCCTTTTATTCTATCACCTAGCATATGCAACGCGTTACGACAACAAAGGATCTTCGCAAACAAAAACGAAACAATGAAACACTTTTTCCCTTGTACTAGATTAGTTCTATTATCTTTCTCTTTAAAGTCTATTGTTCACACCAATTCCAACCGAACGCCACAGTTATTCATTTTATTGATATTTTTCGATGCCAAAAATTAAGCTAATCTTCAAATCTATTTAGGAAGAAAAAGTATTCTTTTGAAAACAAAAAAAATTGTTACCACTTTTAAATTGACTTTATATTAAGCCAAACGTACTTACTAAGTATTCCAGTATTCAAAAAAAATGTATAAAAAATGTTATTTTTGTATTAAATTCTATGAATGAATTCAAGAAATAATATTTTCAAAAATAATAAATCTACAAATAATCTCAAATATGTCGGCAAAAAAAACTGAATTTATTGTCGTTTTTTTTTATTTCACGATTGTCATCATTCGTTGAATTCGTTTGGCGCAACGATTGCAACTCAACGGTTTATCGCCGGTGTGCTTCCGAATGTGAACCATAAAACGATTACAATGCGCATGCAAACTGGAGAACTGGCATAAATGGCACTGAAAACGGCACACCTTACAGCTCGACTCATGTTCTGTTCTTTGACCGGCTTGAGAAAATCGCTTTGTACAGACTCGGCAAGCAAAAAGCAATTGATACTCATGGCATCGCTGGTGAATAATTAGACTTAATTCGCTTGTCAATTGTTGGAACAAAATTCACATTGATGACATTCGTGTTGGGATTAAGTTGTCTTTTTTCTGTTTGTTGATTGAGATGTCGTTGTCTTTGTACGAGTATTATCCTTTTTCTTGAGTTTTGTTGTCTTTGTCATTGAGCTTAAGCCTAATTGACCCAATTGTTGCATTCTTATCTCATATTTTCATCCAATTCAAGCGACAGTTGCACTTGTTGCTCATCACCTTTGCTGCCAGCTTGCTCCCATGGCAAACTTTCATAAATCACACCATCGTTGAAACCATCTTTTTCTTCACCAATACGTAAGTTTCGGTTGTACCGAATTGAGTGAAGAGGTGGTGATTTTGGTATTCGTCTTCGTCATTTTTCTCTCTTTCGATCTCATTCAATTTTAATTCCATTTCCATTGTTCAGATAGTTCACTAGAATTAAAAAATTTATTTTGTTGTTTGATGTATCTTCTGAGCCATTGCTATCTATGACAAACGATTATAATTTGATAGACAGAATAGTAAATAATTTCAGCCTATTTGAATAAAGTTCGATTTGGAACAATTATTTTAAGACAAAGAACCCAAATTGACCAATTTGAAGAAGAGTACCTACCAAATCAGAATGAAAGGAGAAAACCGGGTGGACACTCCAATTAATGTTATTTTCATCAAGCGGTTGGCACGTTGTTTACCATATTTCTGACAGCTGGAGCGAGCTTTGGCTGTCACAATTGTCCCAAAGTATTTTATCTGTCAACTCACCGATGTGTCATGCACGGCCCGAGCAAGAGAGCGGCAATTTTAAATTTCAACTGATTGAAGAAATTTGATTTGCTATTGAATACCAAAAAAACATTTTCGTTTTTGAATTCTTTTATTTTTAATTTAACATTTTAGAATCATTTGCTTGAATAAGATTCCTTCCATGTTTGAAGACATTACTATGTGTATTAATGTGAATTGTGTGCGATGAATATTTACATTTGAATTGGCCGCTTCAAAGTTGACAGCTTCTTGTTTGTTTACAAACGGCATCGGATTTCCAAATCGGATATTCGCCACATACAATCCACTGAAACGACGAGTGTGTGCGTTGCATCTTATTTGGTGCTGAGTTTAGCTGATTCAGAGAAATCTGTAGTCCGAGCTACAGCTCTTTGTGTGTGTATTGGGATTCGTCGATCACATCGACATGACATTATGCCATTTGCTTGGCACATTTTGTTAGCCGGTTGATGTGTCATTTGTGTATTGGAAAGCAAAGCGGTGAGAGTTGCATAGCATAGAATTTCGAGAAGATTTTGCCGAGTAAACAATTAATTCATTTGTGATTTTTTATTCGATATAATTAGTTTTTTCTGCGTTCAATCGACAGTTTAAGAAGAATTTTCGTATTTCAAATGAATTATGAATAATTTTCTAATCGATTTGATTGCATTGCATGGTATTTTTGTAGCTTCGTGTACTGTATGAAATCGGCTCGCAATGAATGCAAGTGATTGTGTACCAATTTGTGAGGTAGGTGTGTTTTCATGTACATTTGAAATTCCATTTGATTTCCATTCGTAATCCATATTTCGTTTGGCAAATAAATTATTCGCTCCTAATTTTTTTGATCATTTTCTCTATTATTTTTACAGTTTTGTGCTGTTTGGCGCGCAGTTTTTGATCACCGTGCTCATGAATGGTTGTCCATTGTCATCCGAACAGTTTCACTAACGGTATTGTATACATCATTTTGTATCAACACATTGTGCAGTTTTCTCATCATATTTCGCTCCCTTTTTTTTATCTCTTTTAGGTCGATAAAAGCGATGGGTCGACACAAGAAAAGAGATCCGAACAAGGAACTCCGGTCCGTCAAACTGGCACTTGGTACGATTATTCGTGGTCGATACAAAGAACAATTGATTAAGACAATCAGCGAATTGAGTGTGCGAGCTACGCTTATTGCGGCTTTGGCTTCGTTGCTGTTATACGAAGTGAATGATGCCTTCGACACTGCTACAGATAGAATAGCAGCATTTTTCTTCGGTGACGGCATCGAAACCATTTTCAATTGTTTCAAAGCTGTCGTCAACGAAAACGGTCCTCACATGCTGCCAGCATTTCGTACATTGGTCGGTAACCTGATTGAATGGCCAACAATCAGCGTTTTTGGAAATGCATTCACATATAGTATGTGGGTTTAATTTTTGGTCCTAAAAATGTACATATATGGACTGGTAAATTATTTATGTACCATAACATGTAATGATGAAAAAAAGAAATCTTTATATTGTTCCGTGTATAGTGTGGTCATAAATTGTAAAGTCATTTAAATTAGTAAATCTCAATCATTGTACAACTATATGTAAGCATGAAGAAACCAAATAAATAATAATAATATGCGGATAATGTGCAAACGAATTTGAACACACAACACACTCAAAGCGGTCTGGCATCGTGACATCTCAGCAGCGAAGCTGATCTTGTACAAAAGTATGCACAAAAGTGATCGAAATTTTGTGAAACAAAGATTATACTCATATATTTTGAATTATTAATTTAATCATTCAGGTCATTGTCAGCTGTTCGGTTTGCCGATATATCCAGCGCTGCTGCAAACAGCTCGCAATGCAAATGGTGCCATACAACCGAATGCCGGAAATCCATGATGATTGACATAGCAGCAATCAACCAAATTCAATATTTAATTTAAGAAAATAATCCAACGAATTGTTAGTAGTTGTTAGCTGACCTTTGATTTTGTGGGAAAGCATAGTCAGTACTTTGTATTTAATTTATGAGTTACACTTTGAGTTGAATAATTTTATCATCTCCATTAATCGCTCTTTGAGTAAGAAGTTGCGTTCTGTGGGTATGATTTCAATTGCGACTTAGTGTTTCATTATACGTTGGTCGCTAGTAAGATTCTTTTGAAATAAACAACATTAAATGAGATGGAAAATCAACAAAAATTATTTATTCTTCGTAAGAGTTCGTTGTTTCTCTGCATTTTCAACGACGTGTTCCTCAACGAATAATCCCTTTCGCTTGCGCACCGAGTCCATGTAGAGTTTAGCGCGATTCTGTGCATCATATTTATCGCCAAAGTGCAAATATTCCTCTTCCGTGGATGGAATCCAATAGGGATCAATGTCAATTGTCTATGGGTAAAAAAAGAGAAGCGAGAGAACTAAAATAATTAATATAATTAGAAGAAAAAAGCTATAAATAATAATTTCAATGAAAATGATTGGATCGGTAAGACTGGGAGTTGATGAAATACGTACCTCCCAGTGGCTGAACATGAGCTGTGGATAAGCGAGACCAGATGTTTGTTTGCGTATTTCCTGTGCAAAATTATAGGATTCGATAACCGGCAAAACGGCCCGCACCATAAACGTGCCACTTCCGTGCATTAAATCAGCTGATAGGATTTTGCCGTGTCGCCGTCCAATCACCGCATACATTTTACCTAATTGAAGAGCAAAAAGGAACAATTAGTCTGACGTTTGAAAATGGCAAAGCAAAAAAAGGAAGAAGAGAGAAGAAAATGAGATAAAAACAAAGGATTATTATTAATCATAATTTGCAGCAGATCTCTTTTGAGGCTAGTGAACTGAATGCAGCGTGCAAAACACGCTACAACCACTTTTATACACACACACACAAAAATCAAAATATGTACAACACAATATTGTAAGCGGAAATTTCAAACACAAAAAAAAAAACAGATTGAGAAAAAGTGGCCAAAATAAAGATTCATCGCTATTCAATAAAACACCTTAATTCCAGAAGCCTGCAGAAAATAAGATAACAAAACGGAGAGAAAAGAAAATTAATCGGTCCAGTCGATATCCAGAACGGAGTCAACAACAGCAACAGCAACAACAATTAAAATAATAACAATCATCATCATCGTCGTCGTCGTCGTCATCATCATCACGGACAATCATTAATAATAACATAGGAAGCGAGAAAAAAATGAAATGAATGAACGAACGAACGAACGAATGAATGAATGAAAAATTGAAAGAAAAAAAATCGAAGAAGAACGAAGCGAATTACAAAATGCATGCTCGGTTTTCAGCTGAGAGACGTGCGAGAGGGACGAAGAGAAGAGAAGAACAAGAACAAAATTACCTTACAATTCGATTACAGATCAATATATAGCATCTAGCATCCGTGCTACACAATTATCCGCACACATATACACAGTGTGTATTACACACACTCACACGCAACCCGTAAGATAATCGAAACTCGAACAAATAAACATCTTAAAGAGGTACGATGTTTTCGTTTCGATGTGTTTTTTTTCTGCTCTCCCTTCTCATCCGTGCTGTGTTTTTTTTCTCTTCTCTTCTCTCCATGATTATCATTGTTATTTGTTCTCCTTTTGAACGTTGTTTCATTGATTTCATTCATTCATTGATCCATTCATACGTTCGTTCAATCATTCATTCATTCATTCCATTTTATATTGTTTGCTATTATTGTTGTAACGGCCAAGAGTGATGCACAAGTCCACTTTATGGCTCTCACTCTCATATATGAGGCTCATACATGCACGGTGTTTCACTGGTGTAATATCATTGTATGTTCACAGCACATTCGCAATTGTGCTTATGTACACCGTCGAAAAGGTGAGCACAAATGTGCTTTGGTTCTAGGTATAAAAAAACAACGTACATATGTGTAAATCGATGATCTCTTTCCTGCGCACACTTGCTTTTATTTGTTCGATTCTTGGCGTTTTTTGTTTCTCTCTCTACTTCGCCTCTGTCTCTCGGTTCATTTTTTTTTTATTTATCGTCAATCTTCATGCATTTTTTTCCCTCTTCTGAACACGCTTACAATTCTCGCTGTCTCTATCTCTCTTGATCTTCGTAAGTGCTTTACAGAGATTTTCCTTTATTTACGTTGAACGAAAAAAAAACAACAACATAATACAAATGAATTAGGACGTATCGAACGTGTCAGACTTATAGTATGATGTCATCGTGAAGTGGCCCAAATTTATTGGAATCCTTTGCATTGCATCACACAATTCAGAAAAAAAAATTCTTCACACTCATCGTTTCTTCGAACGAGATCCAAATCAGTCTGTCTCCACAATGAATTCATTTGAGAAAAAAATCATGCTGTTTTCGTCGCAACCTATCATTACACACGAACCTCTCAACACACACCAAACTTCTAGTGATTTCTTCGTCTTGCACTCGTCGTCGCTGCTGCCGCCGTCGCCGCTTTTTTCATGTGTTATTTTACGCTCTTTGTAAATACACACCGGAGATTCAATGAGTGTATGAGTTTTCATTCAAGTTTCTTTACCGCGCTATTTGTTGTTGTTGCTGGATTTTTGTTTTTGTTATTATTGCCTAGCCGTTCGCTATACGATATGTGTGTTTATGCATGTGTGTATGGTTTTTTTTCTCTTTGGTTTTGTTGTTAAAATATTTATTTATTTTCTTTCCTTCTTCTCTGTCTTTCAATTCTCCTTCTTGCTGCCGTTTTTTTCTTCATCTCTCTCTCTCTCGCTCTCTCTTTTTTGGGCTTGCATGAGCATATATAGGTATTTTTTCGTTGTTGGTGTTGTTGTTTTTGCCTTCGTTTCTTGCCTGTTGCGCGCGTTGTTGTTTTTAGGTTGTCGTGTTCAGATTCTTACATCCGATTTAGTTTTGCTTGGAATGCTGAGGTGAATAGAGTGCATATGAGTGACAGGACCCGCCAACATTTTACATCCACACATCGATTTATCACAACGCAACACATCGAATTCGTGCGGCTCAATCGAGAAAAAAAAAATTAATACCAAATGCATATTTTGATTTGATTTTTCTTCTGTTTCGCTTCTTGACGTTTTAATACAAAAAAATATGTGTAATCAGTGTCAATCGATTCGTTTCGTTTAAATTGGGATTTTGAATATTGTGCAAATTTTTTTGAATAAACATGAGCAAAAATTGCAAATGTGCGCCAAATAAACATTGATCGTTTTAATGCGCCCCCAAAAAGTGAATGTTTGTGATTTTTTTTTGAAAACAAATTACAAAGTTTTTTTTAGTCAAATAACTGCCATATCGGTTGATATCAGTGACAAGGGAGAAAGAGAGATTGTGTGTCAATAAAAAAAAAACGTTGGTAGACCGAGACAAAATTTAAATACTGAAAATATTGAATATTAAAATCATTTTAATACTTCGCTTTGCTTGTGTATATGTGCGATTTCAAGCTTCTGCTGAGATCGACATAATCGCGCGAAAACAAAATAATATCCAAAAACAACACAAGAAAAACAGACACACATACTTACGAAATAAACAAAAAGCAAGAAAGGAGAAACAAATAAATGTATTCCGCGGACACCGTAATCAGCAAAGCAAGAGCAAAGTTGTAAAAATACAGGCCACAATAACTAACGTTACGTCTTTGACGCGTTGCCACTTCAACAGCAGAGAATCGTGTTTAAAATATATATCGAGGCTGTCAATCTACAGACACTTGCATCGGCTGGCTTTTTGAGTATGTAATGTGATTTGCCAAATTTGTTGTTTGTGTGAGCAAAAATTGTTTTGATTTGTTTTTTCCCACTTCATCTTCGGCATTGTATCTATTTCTATCCTTCTTCTTCTCTGTCAGTGTGTCTGTTTCATTTTTGCCTTTGAGTAATTTTGAAATATTTTATATATAGTAATTATGGCGTTGATTGAATCGATTATACTAGTTTTTTTCTACTGCACTCCGACTCGAAAAACATTCACACGTTCGTTGAATGGACTGACGTACGGACAGGCAGTCGACCAGCCATTTGGTATTGCATATGCATCTGTTACCTAAGATCAAACATCAACAACAGCAACACTCGACCCGATAACGAATTACGTCGAACGTTTTTCCCGAAAGGCGCTGCCGTGAAGCCGTTCCATGTTCATGTGTTCTCTTGATCCTTTGTTGATCATACTATTATTATTATTATTATTATTATTATTGTCGTCATCGTCGTCGTTATTGTTGTTCCTGTTATATTCTTTGCGCGCAATCGTTTTAGAAAAGTCTCTGGTATACACATACAATGTACAATAATAATAATATATATTTTTTTTTCACGATGTGTCGAGCGAGTGAGATGCTGAGAGTTTGAATGCAAAGGAAATTCAATTCAAGCGCATTTTCTTTATACTCTTTCATTATTGAAGTTGGTGGTGTGCTGTGTTGTGCTGTGCTGTGTATGAGAGAGTTTTGTGTTGGGCTTTTGTTGCGCTGCACTGAAAAATATGTTTTTTTTCTACTCTTGGAATTTAATTCAATTAGTCTTTCTAGGAAATGGACATACAATAATTATTCAAGAGAATATGTGTGTGTATGTGTGTGTGAGAGAGAGAGAGAGAGCTTGACAAGCCATCCCATTTCAAAGGATATACCATATAATTGGAGAATCGGAACGGAACGGAACGCAAAACATTGCTTACTCCTATTATTCCCGCCTAACGAATGCGATCGAATGATAGTAGTTTTTCGCATTTCAATCTATTCTCGGTATTATTATGCTCGAGCACCTATTGAAAATCCCGAAAACATCATCAATCCTCAATGTGGCTGGCAAATAAAACAGAAGATGAAAAAAAAACGTTATTTTGGCATTTGGTTTGTTCATTTCGGGCAGTAAATTCAAAACGAGCATTTATTAAATCGAATACATTTGCAATTGTTCGATCGGCCGATGGTTAATGCGCATATCATTGTTACACCGTGCCAATAAGCAAGTATATTGGCGATGATGCTGGCTGGCTAGTTGGCATCGAATGCACCTAAGTTGATTTCTGTGTAAAAAGGGAGGAGGTCTTTAAGCCTTTAATGCACTTTTATTTTTGAATCATTTTGATATATGTTTTGTGCCACCTAATACTTGGATTTTTGAAAAATTCCGTATTTGTCGAGAAAATCGGAAAAGATGATGCAGAAAGTTAAATTGATGTGTTTTGGTCCTACGAGTCCTAATTTGACAATTGAAAAGAATCTACAAACCCACAAGATAAGAGGAGGAAAAATGTGGAATTCTGCTAAAATTTCGCATTTTTTTTTACAGCAGTAGAAAAAACTTTCGATTCAGCTAACCAATTGTAGCTGGTAAGGTATCAAATGAAAGCTAGTTTAATTCCCTACATTTGTTTCCAAACAAGAATGCAAAAATATTCAGTTGTTTCCTAGCTATAGCGTTTGCTGTATCTGGTTACTTTAGAAACCAATATGTGATAAAGGGTTAAGGTTGGTGCAGTTGTTGTTGCTGTGTTTTTTTTTTCTGCGCAATGAAAGCCCATCCTACTTTTTATCTTTATCATAGTATCATTCCAACCGATAGATTTCTCACACGGCACGGCCAGCAATGGCAAATGGTAAGCGCAAAGCAATGCAAGAGGGAAAATAACCAACATAAAAATCATCATCTCAAATAACACAGAAAGAACGTTAAACAAATGTTTGAAATGAATTACGAAACATTTACGATCGGATGTCCGTTGTATGCTGCGCTGTGCCAATGGACAATAACAACAAACAGCGCAAAGCAACACATGACCAACCGACCAAGCGAATGGAGCCAGTGATAGAGAAAGAGAGAAAAGAAGAAAACGATGGTGAGAAGAGAAAAAATGTTAAGATTCTGGAATGTGCTCGGGCCGGACTATTTAATGGAATGCCAAGTTGCTGATATAGCTATTCCATATTACAAACAAACGAATAATCAATTACAATAGCTCCGCACGTAACGTCTATAAACAGTGGAGAACAATGCGAAGAAGATGAAATATCTATCTGTTGCCATTGAGCATACAGGTATCTTTGCTTGCTGGCTGGCTGGCTGGATGGCTGACTGGCTGGTTGCATATAGCCTATTTTTTTCCTCTCTTCTCCTTTAAACATTTCAAACAGCTCGTTTCTCTCTCCCCCTTTCTGTCTCTCGAATTTCCCTCGTCTCGCTCGCATTCATTTTACCGGTCTTATTTTCTGATTTAAAGTGGTGTAAATTATTGGTACTGCCGTTGCTGCTTCGTAACATTTCGATATGAATTCATATTATGTCTGTCGCCTAGAGACTCTTTTTTTCTTCTCTCTCTCTCTCTCTCTCTCTCTCTCTCTCACCTTGTTGTGTGCTATTACCAATGTATAGTGGCATGTTGTTTTTCGCTTCATTTTGGCTTGCCATGCCTACCTTTCAATAAATTTATCTATTAAAACAGGTTAAAAACGTAAGCTCAGCGCACACACAACACCTTTCGATCATCGATCGGTGTGTGTATACTGTACATTGCATGGGATAAACGAGAGATCAAATCAACACCAGAAAAATTTCATTCATTCCGTTCATGTTGCTGTTGCGGCTGCTGTTGCCGTTTTATTTGGTTCATTCATTCATTCATTCATTGACTCAATCAATCAGTGAATGAATACCCATACTATGGCACTGAAGCTGTGGCGCGCTCACTCGCTTACTTGCTATACATGTACACATGACACTATTTAACACACCAATACTCCATTATTGGATGGTTGTCGTGTAACATTTATAGAAGTGGCGTGCTCTCTTAAACTCCATTCATGCATTAAAATCGCATTGCTTTTTGTTTGACCGTTAATTCTAAATTTCGAATATCCAATTCTGAAAATAGTTTTTTTTATCTTCTTCTGTATCTATTGTTTGTATCGTATTCATGAAACGTTCGAAGAATCATAGCCTGTTTCCAGAAACTTGAACATTTTCTTTTGTATCCTATCGAATATCGATGATTTTTTTTTTATTCAAAAGTCCTTGTGAATAATTCAAATATGATTCGTCATGATACAGAAAACATAACAAAAAAACTATTTCATTGTTCGAGTGGTCAGAGTTCATCATTTCAATGGAGAGAGAGAGAGAGAGAGAGAGAGAGAGAGCAAGAGAGTGAGTGAGAAAGAGAGGCAAAGTAAAAAACGCAGTCCGTTGGATATCGTAACAGCGGAAAAACGAATTGCTAATGCCTAACACACGTATAATCAACATCGATCACGTTCATTTGAATTTCATTAAATAACGAGTTATACACGCGTGCTGCTCGATTCGTATACCTGAACACGTACCCAAAGAGAACACTTTGTGTACAACATAAAAAAATCTGAGTAGAAAAGAAGAGAAAAAAACACTCACACACAACAGAACAGAACAGAACGAGAGACGTGAAATTACAAACCCGCGATAAATAGAGGCGATTTTTAATGTTTTATGGATGTTTCCTTTCCTCTTACTCGCTTCTTGCCATTGATGTTTTTCTCAATGAAACTTACGAAAAAAAAAAAAGAATTACAACAACAGCAACACAACGCACGGCTATAATATACAAACGTATAGTGAATAAGAGCGTCACACGCTGAAGGAAATGTCGGGAAAGGAAAGAAGAGAGGAAGAAAAAGCATCGCATCACACACAAGACAAAATGTGCGTGTATCAGCAACTCGTTCGCGCATTTAATTTAAACAAAACACATCGTGTGGACTTGAATGAATCGAGTAAAATCGGCCGACTGTTGTTCGTACGATATATATATTTCATGAAATTTCTTTCCTTCAAACCACCGGATGAGATCACAGCGACAACAAATAAAAACCGAATTTAAAATGAAGAGAAGAAAAACAGTCGACAACGAAGACAACAACAACAACGACGACGACGACAAGAGCATAAGAAGAAGAATCCAACATAACAACATATCCTGTGCTGTTGAATTCAGCAACAGCAGCGGCAGCAGCAGCAGCAGCAGCAACGTATCCCCCCCTGAAACTCTGTGTATGATAAGCACCAGAGTGAAGGAAAAAAACAACAAAATGTAAAAATACCAACGAAGTAAATGTCTCTTGAGTCATTTGCAACAAAAATTGCATCGTAATTTGTATATTGACGAGATCGTGCTATGTGCAGAAGGGCATCACCAAAGCAAAGTGCAAAACCGCATTACGGTTGCAGTCAATACTACACAGATTGCAATTGATCGCTCGTTCACCCGCCCTGCTATCGTCTCATTCCCTTGGCTTTCCTATCGCTCTATCGCTCTATCTCTCTCTGTCTCTCTCTCTCTCTCTCTGTCTCCCGCTCGCTCCAGTGTGAGTTGAATCGAATGCGGATCACATTTAAATGCTCAATCAATTTTACAGTTTTGTTTTGTCTTTTTCTTCTTCTCTCACTGTGCAAAGCGAAAGATTGTCGTTGTTGACGCGATCGATTCGATCGAAAGAGTGTGTGTGTATGATTTTGTTATGTTCTTCTCCTTCTTTCGACTTCTGCTTCGTTTCATTGAATATATTGATAATAATAATAACAAACGCATCGCATCGCATCGTATTGAAATCGTAGAAATCGAATGTAATTCCATTGAAAAAAGTTGATTTTGTAATTGAAAATGATTGATAATCTTTGAGTTATGTGGTGCCGGTGTTCGTCGCTATCTCTTCATTTCTCTGTTTGCCGCATAGAATGACCGACAGAGACGACAAATTGTATTGGGAATACGGCATATCTATATGTAAGATACCTATATGAAATGTATAGAGAGAAAAAAAGAAACGCTGAATACCAAGAGATGAAGAAATTTAATCAATTCGTGTTTTCATCTCGCTGTCTGTGTATGTGCGCTCGTATAACCAGTACTCAGTCGACGCATCTGTTTTTGTTCACCATAGAAATATTTGAAATTATTTGAATTTTTTCAAGGAAATTTATGTGATTTTATTTCAGCGTGTATCTTTCTCATTCTCTGCATGTTATCCCCCGTACTCTCTTGTTCTCCCTCTAGTGCGTTCTTCATCGCCTCTATCTCTCTGTCGCTCACTCTCTTTGCGATCGCACGCATACTGAAATTATAGCTGCGATTTGATCGAACAGTCTGTTAAAATTTGAATATAATTTTCAGTCACATTGTGATTTGCCATAAAATCGATAGTTATTCTAATCGTATTGACGGTGAATGTGGTTTTATGTGTGTATCTTCTTTCCATTTTTCTCTCTCCTCTTTTCTACGCTAAATATCGATTATGCGGCTGTTTATTGCCTCAATATAAACATTTTTAACGCATTTTCCAAAACAATTTTATAGCTCATTACTTAGTTTTATCTTCTTTTTTTTTCTCGTTCTTGTTCTCGTTCTCGGTGCATTTGCTGTTACATCGTACGGCCACAGATCGACGCAATTCAATTTGACGACATTTGATGACATCGTGGTAATTTGTGCGGCTGAAGTGATGTGATCAACAAGAAAGAAAAAAATTTATAGCCACCACAAGCCCAGTGCTCAAATGACAATTGAGAGATATAGATGCAAAGCAAAGTGACGACAACGACAACGACGACGACGACGACGACGACGAGGACAACGACGCAAAATATAACGTAACCGAAACGCAAACCGAAAAAACACACAACACAACGAAAACAAAACCAAAACGGAAACCAATTCTCTACTTATTAACTTGGCATTAGGAGCATCCACAAAATGAATTTAACGAATCCATTACATACGTATTTCATACTAATTTTACTTGTATGCATTTTAAATGAAATCTACGGCACACGAATACCGCTGGAAATTGTGCAGCTGGAGAACAGTGGTACACGATTAAATGATGATAAAATTGCCAACACCGAATATCAGGTGCACGATGTGGATGAACCATCGTCGTATTTAGCGAATAAGCATAATAAAAATGTGAACAAAACCCCCGACGATTGGATCACCCGATTCACTGCAAATCGGAAAGCAAGCACGCGTGACGTCCAAGAGCCGCGCATTTTCTATCAAGTTGGCGTAAGTATTGACAAAATAAAAACCAAAATAACAAAAGAACAACAATATAATTTCGTATAATTTATAACCCTGAAAATGGGCACAGGTGAATTTTAGACGAGTTTATTTTTAATTAAATCGGCCCATTTATATCAAGAGATTTCCGAGATTTATTTTATCGTTTTCTTTTATTTTTTTCTCACGTGTGTGCGCGCGCGCTCATTCGCTCGTCTAGTCATCCGAAGATGATTTGCCGATTTGTGGAACGAATGAAGTGTGTTCAAAGATTGATTTGTATGATATTCAAAAAGGTAGGTACAAATTTGAATAGAGAATTATGTTTAAACAAAAATGTTTGTTAAGAATTTTACGAATTGTTATTAAACTAAATTAAATTTTAAAAAATTTATATTTTTATTAAGGGAATGTCGTCTAAGATGGACCACACTTTGATTAATCATTATAACTTTTTTGAAAGTGGATAATGTTTCAAACATGACGACGACGACGACGACGAGGACCTCAAAAGGAAACTTTTTGCTCTAGAGAGTCTATTGGTTTTAGTGCGAAAATTTTTTTATCGCGAATTTTTCGGACACGCTGAAAATGGCAAAAAAAAATTGCCGTATAAAATGGACCACCCCACAAAATCTAAAAAATAAGTGAAATTATGAAAAGATAACACCATATTCCGAAATATTTGCCGATTTTCATTCATTTATGTGCTTTCAGGCAATGAAAGAACCGCACATTTTATAAGCTAACGTGCAACGATATTTTGATGAGGGTTTTAATGTGACTGATCGCAATTGGCCAATATAAGGCAAAAAATACCCTAGAATCACTAAAATTTGGGGTGGTCCATCTTACCCGACGGTCCATCTTAAACGACACTCCCTTATTATTTAAAAAAAAAATTTTTTTTCCATTAGTAAATTTTCAAGAGAATTTTATTTTAAATAGAAATTAATTTTATAATTTCCAAAGCCTGGATTGAGCGGCAATGTCGTTGCCCACCGGCTAAACATCACATCTTTGAGGGTGCCATTGAAAGCGGTAACAGTGCCCGCAATCGCCACGCCATTTTACACAATTTAAAACTCAGCGAGAGCACCGGAAATCTGTACGATTTCGAGAGTGAGCACATAAAGAATGTTCTCATGAAATTGGGAATGCTGCATAATGCCGAAGATAGTTTGATGAAAGAGGCTGAAGATTACATGAACGACAGTGAATCGGATGAGATCAATTATTCGGCGGAAGAGGCATTTTCAACGAATTTCCCGAAAACTCGACACCGAACACAGGACAACGAAGCCATTGAAGTAGTTAAAATGACAAAAATCCGGCATCACAACAATGTACATGGCGGTCACCCATCGACCAATGGCCAGTGCCCAGATGCAATCACATCGAATGATGGCCACACAATTGCCGACAAAACACGACTCTACAAAATGTGCGAACCAGTACAAAAATTGCCATTGTGCAGGTAATTTAAAGCAAACACATCATTTGACAAATTGAAACGTTTTCAAATTCATTTCATGATGGGAGCATTTCCTCAATTTACGTTTGAATTGCCACTTATATGCTTTTACCACACACACACACACACACATAGATATTTCCGCGATTACACATGGACACTTGTGTCATACTCGGACATGAACGTAACACAGCAGATAGTGCACTGTCGATGCCCCAAAAACTCGATAAGCTATCTAATCAAACGTGAACCGCTGAAAACTGGTGCACTCGGATACACATATCTGTTCGCGTGCTCACCACAAAGCGTAAGTCAATTCAAAATCACTTTTTATGATTTAATTCGATTTAAGTGCCTGCCTTTATTTTCATTCATTTTAAATGTGACGCGTTTATTTCAAATTATCTAAATTGAATTCATTCTCCATATTCGCAACACAGAGACTGAAGTGCCAACGAAAGGAGCCATGCAAATTGTTTACGGTTCGCAAGCGGCAAGAGCAAGTTGATGAAGTCAACACTAATGTATTGTGCCAGTGTCCGCGTAACTACAGATGCCCCAAGCTACACACCGATGTCGGTGTCATTCTCGGAAAGAACTACGTTGAAGACAACATTCGAACGTTCTCAGGCTACTGTTTACAGGACATTCACTGAACATAACAAAGATTTTTTTAATGTTAATATTTGTAAAATAAAAAAGAAGAATAAAATGCAAAAACAACGAAGAAATCAACGATTTACACTTTTGAAAGCAGCCACAGCCGCAGCAGTAAATAACAAAATTATATATTTTTGTGTTCCAAAATCCTTTAGCATAAGAATGAATCAGATTTAAAATGAACGACAAACAAAAACATTATACTGTATGATTCGACGAAGAAGCGGAAGAAAAAAATCCGCTAGTTACACCCAAACATGAGTGAAAGTGACAAGACCGAACGAATTAACGAGAGAGAAAGAAAAAACATGTAAATTTTTTAGAAGTTAATTGATTTGTTTACGTACTATATAATATTTATAATTTCATTCCGATTATTTAGTGTTTGTGTTTGACTATGTATAATTTAATGTGAATTAAAATTGTGTACTCGAGAACTGCAAAAAATGAATGAGAATCAAATAAAAATTATTGATCGTTATGCGACCAAAATTCATGTAAATAAACGGTGTATTTTGTGTTTGCTTCAGCATCAAAACCTTTTTTATTTCCTTTGAAAGGCATGGGAAAAAGTCTTGATCTGAAAGACCGGTTGAGCATAGTCGAAAAATATACTCAATGTTGAGCTCTTTTTTGAAGAAAAAGAAACGTTATCATCCATTCTTTCATTGTCTGTTTCTTCTTCTTTCACCGATGCCGGTTGGTGTGGGATTAAGTAAAAAGAGGTAAGCTCCAGTGTAAAAGGCAAATGTAATGTATGTGTGAAAACTCCCGTTCAGTGTATTCTCCATCCAAAACTTGTGTTAGCTTCAACTTGATCACCAGATGTCGGTGCGATCAACGATCAAAGCTCGGTACAACTCAAAAGCTTCACCACACCCAGGTAACACAATCAAATCAACGTTCTCACGCTAGTCAACAGAATAAGGCGAGTAGAAACGATCGAGATAAATGGAGAAGTTGTGGTTTAATTATCTTTCAAGAATCGTTTACATTGTCGAAAAATGAATCTTTTATAGGTCGTAATGCAAAAAAAGTTATTATTGTTATGCTCTGCGAGAGAGGGAGAGAGAGAACAACTAAAATGGAAAGTCTTTTTAGCATCTGGCAAATGAACTATACCATGATTATTATGAAGTTGTTTGGTTGAGGCTCCGTTGATTGTGAATAATAGAATTTGGAATCGGTTGCTCGTTCGATGTATCGTAGTAGTAATTAGTTGAAAATTGGGTACCAACGAATTGCCGGCGGTGAGCAAACAAATCGCAATTTCGTTGGATAAAACAAAAAGCCATAACAGCAATTTCTATTCTCCATGGGAGATTTCTTTCGCCAACACAAACATACACACAGCAATAAAATACTGATGATTGAAGACTATTTGCCTACTATTAACAGGCGGAGAGGATGCCTAGCAGCACTATTGGAAATATTTGAATGTATTGTGCATTGGGAAAGACATACATAAACATAGATAAAACACCAAAATCTACTAACAAAAGAAGACTCAACAACAGAACAAGCATAAGAGAAGAAAAACCAACATTCAATTCAAATAGTAGTTTCCATGTGAAATTAACTTCGTTTAATTTGTCTGAAGTTCCCATCAGTTTTAATAAGTCATTTGAATTCTTATCACTGTGCGATCCATGTTTACACTCATCCCATTTGCTCGATTCCGACAATTTCATTAGATGCCTTCCATTCCATTCCATTCATTCATTCATTCAATTTGACTCAACAGCTCAACTCAACGAAACTCAATTCAATTTATACATCGAGAGATTCTTGTTCAAGCGCACAAGATGCATGTCATCAATACGAATCTCACGTGTTGTGTCTCATTTCCGATTTTCATGTTCAATTTTTGTTTTTGTTTCTTTCATTTCTTTCAGCGATCAATTGTGTATTGTGGATAATATTTGAACCTCTCTATTTCTAGATCTCCTGCGATCTGTTGGCGTCGATACACACACAAACTTTATGTGTAATGTATAAATTGAGACTATAATACCTTTTGCAAAAAAAATGAATACGATGACATATTTTGATTGGAACCATAATTGTAGCAATTTCTCTACCATATCCATAAAGAGATTTATTGAGTTTTTGGGCGCGTGATAAACTCAAAACGATTCACATATTGTTTTGGTGTTTGCGCGTTGTTGTCTTTTTGCACGATGGGATGGTAGAGGAAAAAAAAAACATCGTTCATTTGTTCATTCACTTCATTCAACGGAGCGTATAGATGTCTATGGTTTACATTCCCATTCAGCTTCTGTACCACTGACACTTGATACAAATTGTGAGTATCTTTTTCCCTTTTCTCTTTTAGCATCGAACAGTTTTCCCAAATACCAAAAAATATCTTCATATATTGAAGCAACGACATTCAAATCCCATAAGTGAACCGACTAATGAAAGCAAAATAAAAACCGCAAAAAAGAGCAGCGCCAAAGGAGAACGAAGCAACAAGCAGAAAATAATTCACAACAATATAAAGAAGAGTACACATATTGAGTGACGAGTAATTGCTCCGCGTGCAATGTACGCAACAACGACGCCAACAGCCGCCGCCGCAGCAGCAGCAGAAACTTTTCTACGAAAGTGAAAGTTACATAATTAATGGCAATTTTTCGGAATCTCGAACTGAACAAAACGGTTACTTTGATTGTGTTCATTTCAACACTTGCTTGTTTTAACAACCTTGGTCGCTTAGAATCGTATGGCACTTTCGTCTTGAGTCAATTGATCAAGCCATTTGCCAACTGAGAACATTTCCAATTTGGACGAGTCATTTTGGGGTGGACTCTGAAATGACTTCTAATTTGTGCTTGAGTGAGTTCCCATTTAATGTCTCGAAAATTAGTTGCGAGAATATTGAGGAGTTCATTTCAGTATTCATCGTAACATAATAGATTGAAATTACACTTGATTAAAGCAAAATCGAACCTATCAATTAAGAAATGTAAGTTGTGCCGCGTGGATAATTGACCAAAATTGAGATATTAACCTTTGGTCTCATGATTCGGTTTGAATGATCAAAGCAAGACGAATGTACTTTTTAATGGAAGGCTGTGCCTATCAATACATTTAATTGTGCAACCCAACTATAGCGTATTGGTTAGCGTACTAGCGTTGTAAGCGTGGGGACACGGGTTCGAATCGCATAGTGGTCGAAAATCTTTTCGCTTCAAAATGTCATTGGTTTTATCGATAGGATTGTGAATTGAGAGACGACGACCCATGTGGAGGCCTGTGGAGTGCTCCGGGAGGCACTTTAAGCTGTGGGATCCCGTGCATTATATACAAAAGATGAGTACAATTAATGCACGTAAGATAGGGCGCCTAACGCTAGGTTGTTGTCTTCAATACTCAGTATTTGTTGCAATCGACGCTAAAGGTTGTTGCCTGATATTGGTGAATATATCAGTATCAGAAGCATGTCCCCATCGAAAAAACTCAAGAGGAAAAAATGGCTCAATGAAATGGATGCGGAGCGTGCCAAATATTGTATGTAATGTGGCCCACTAGTGACGTGGTGGAGCCCGACCCTGACTGGATTACAGGCACAGGGCACATCACAACGAATGGGCCCTCCACAATCGACGAATGGTGTGCAAACCCGTGTGCAAATAAAGTGACAGTCATTCAGTTGTATGTAACTGCAAATAACTAAAACTGGCTAAGTGGATTGAATTCAAGAATGTTGTGAGGAAATAATCACTTTTAGTTATTCATTCAGCCAGCCGTCTAATTTCGGACTTTTTGGCTACTAGATGACTATAACTGAAGTTGAATACAGTCGAATATTTTGTTTGAGATAATCACTTTTAGTTACTGATAGTCAGCCAAAAAGTCCGAAATTAGATGGCTGGCTAGTCAGTCACAAATTTTTCACACGGGAAGAATTCACCCAAGCGCGCGTCTCGAATTGAAAATTATCCACTTAATTCGTCATTATAGTCGGCAACTTGGTTTTATTTGCTCTAAAAATAGACACATGGAAAGGTATTCGAAATATCTTATTTTTACGAGATATTTCTCAATTCACACATATCCTTTTCTATTATCTAAATGTGTTTTTTCAAATTGTTTGATTTGTTTTCGCCAGAATTTAGTTCTGAATTTATCTAAATTTCCAATTCAAATTTAAATCAAATCAAATTAACTTAACGTTATGCGCTAAGTTGAACGTTTTCCAATCAATTTTCATCATAAAAATTAGTTGAAAACGCACCATCAAAGCCATTATTTTCCTAATAAAATAATTTTATCTTTTCGATTTGATGTGGATTAAAAATCAGCTTGTGCTTTATTATTTGTTGCGTTTACAGAAACTGGCGGTGTGTGTTGCATTTGAGAGCAAAATTCTCTTGTGGCAGAGAATTTATGGAATCATGTCATCGATGCACTAAATTATATTTAATTGCTCGTGTGATGTAGTAATTTTCCAGTGGAATCCCGTCTATCAAAATAAGTTGTACGAATTCGGGGCCAAAGTAAATATTAACAGTTTTCAAGTTAATTTATGACTTCGATTTAGCATAGCTTAACACGAAACCCCGTTAACGACCGTTTCCATTGTAATTGATCTGCGAATCGCTTGGCAAAAGAGAAAAAGATGTTACACACAAAAAACACTAGGAAGAAGCTGGAAACAAACATGCTAGAACATAACACCTGAATAAATTAACTTATGTGTGCGCTCATCATCAACAAGCCTTCAATTCGATGCTGACATAACACGCTACAAAATCGCGTCTCGATTACAATTAACGACAAAAGAAACTAGTCTACTTCAATCGATAAAACAAATTATCCAATGCTTTGGTTTTTAATTGTTGTGTTTGAGGCATCGATGCTGCAAAAGATCAAAAAAAAGAGTATCAACTAGGTAGAGATAAAGAGGAGGAGCAGAAGAAACAAGACCGCAGAGCGTCGCTTAGCTCCGCTCTGCGTTCATGAGATTATAGTTACTTATTCTATTTTGTTGTTTCACAACAAACTATTTTTTGGTGCACTACGTGAAATGTATTTCATCAAAGTAACTTTAAAGTAATACATTTATTTGCAACAAAGTACAGAAAAAAAATTCACAGTTATTTCAAAAATGAATTACAAGATCTTGATTTTATTTCTTTTTTGAAATATACTGCCTTTGGTTTAAATTAAATAAATAATATGAGCATAGATCTAAAGTCACTTTAATTCTGTTCAAGACTCAGAAAATACTGTACGAAAAAAGATTGAAATAATGTAATTTTAAAAAAACATTTTATCATAAAAAAAATTTGATTGGCGCCTTGAGATATTATGCACTTATTTGTCGTTACTGCCACTGTTTTTAATTAAATAAAAAATATGAGCATAAAATTCAAATTCACCTTTGTTTCAGTACTCAAAAAGTATTAAGACAAAAAAGCAGATTAGTAGCTCTACATTTCATGTTGTGCTAAAAAACAACGATTGCGGAGCACAATGTAAAACAATAAAACTGCTAAACCGTTTGTTCTTGATTATTTTGTTACGTAAATCGATTTGTGCTTTAGCTAACTAAATTTTTATATACATTTCAATTTTTATACACAAAAAACGCATCATCAATAGAGCTGTTGACCGCTCTAGGTATAAATCTTATTGGGATTTCCTCCTCCCTTCGTTTGCAGTCAATATAAAATGTGTTTCAATTGAAATCGTGAGATAGTGAACTATGCGACATACGTTATTTTCTCCATTTTGATGGTGAATAATTGCGTACCGAATGCTATGTTTAATAGACCTTGTCACAAATCACCTTTTAACCAGACTGAAAATGATGAGCATCGCGAATTTCGATCGAAAATATTGTAAGTTTGGTCAATTTTTGATATGTGTCACGCATTTTTATTACGCAAATTTATAAAATTGATGCCATATAATGAAAAACACAAATCGCTATTGACCAGCTACGGTCAACGCCCAGCGCTTGTTCAGGCGTCAAATCAATAACGTACACACACATGTGTTACACACTTGCACGCACACTTTGAATACGTGTTGAAACCGTGACTTAATTTTTTAAAATTCTATTTTTTGCATAACAGGGCGCTTGCTTGGTACAATAGAAAGTCAATAAAAAAATAAGACCGTAATAAAAATCGGTGTCTGCGAATGAACCGTTTTATGCGCGCATTGTGAAGAAAAGAATGTGTTCGGCTCCAGCGGTGTCGATTACTCGACCGTTCGAATATATCGGTTCAAATTAATAAGATTTAAATGCACATTTTTTTGCTACAAAATTCCAGATTTTGATCATAATTTATGCGATGAGAAATCTACTAAACACCTGATACATACTAACCGGGCCGATCATGGGAAAAAAGCAACACTTCTCGCACAAAGCACACTAAACACAACCAATTCGATGATTCGATGAATTAAATAACTTAAGCACAATAAAGTGTCAAAAAATGACCCAAGTTCAGCGCGAACAAAAGAGAAATCTATAAATGATTCGTGTTCTATTCTTGTTGAAAGAGCCGTTAATGAGCACCATTAAGTGCTAAGCCAAATAGCGCCGTTTGTCTAAATTGTTCACAAATACAGAGGGGAAAAACTCACTTAAATCGGTCATTTGTTTGAAGAAAATGAAGACATTAACGTTAAACAAGAAACTTAGTGGCGGCTAAACGATTTTGAATGTCTTCTGCAAAAAGTGCAGTCTTTCGTATGGAGATGTGTGATATCAGAATGTAGCAGCGGAGGCGACGAACCCGTTGTAATCTTTCGCTCTTCCAAACATGTTATTTTATTCGTGTTTTTTGCTGCTTTTTGAAGTAATTTCATAGCATTCAACTGTTGTTAGAAATTATGAACAAGAAAAAAAAACAAAAACCATTCTTCGATTTCACAGCAGATTTTCTATGTTTTTTTGTTCGGTCGAGATATCAAATTTAAATATATTTCAAACCCGTTTATTTTCTTGTGTTGATATTTTGTTTTTGTTGAAGTATAATGAAAACTGTTGCTGCGGCGGCGGCTGCTGTTGCCATTCAGTCCATGTGATAGATTTAATGGGCAAGCTAAAGATGTAAATGATGAATTGTTTTCGGAATTGCGTCAGTTGCGCGCGCGATGGGTACGGCATGCGCGGTTTTGTTTATATGTTTGAACTGAGCGCTCTTTGTTATTTGCCTTCAAACCGGTACACAATACACAACACACAGCCAAACACACTGTAAACTGCACTTGAAACGGTCGAAAGCATGAATAAATTTCACGATGAAACAGAATATATCGTTTTTGTGACGATAAAAATTTCAAGTTTAACGTATATGAAAAAAAATTTCTTTTATTATTTACTCTTCTCTCTATTCCATCTATGAGCTTTCGTTCGATATTCTCGTCTTTTGTTTCCAGCCAAGTAATTTCGGCGTGTTTATGTTGTTGTTTTTTTATTGCAGTTGTCTTCTCCTTTGTTTTAATTTTGTATTCATTTGTTCGGTTTTCTGTCAATGCGTCTTTTTTTATGGTAATGAAAGTTTCGACACTTGGCCGAAACGCACTCATCCATCGCAGGCTTTTATTTATATTTGGGCGATTGTTTATTATCATAACCGGTGGAGAGAGAAAGAAAAGCGTCGCTCTTCTGTCCGACAAAAAATGAAGTTCATTTGGTCAGTAGGAACAAACAGAGAAGCATTCATTTATTTCCACAAAGAAAAAAATAAATAAAAAGCGTTTTAATTTGGAGGTTTCTTCTTTGTTGGTTTAAAACTTCTTCATCTTGTTTTCTTCTCATCGTTCGCGGCTCTTCAGAACACAAATTCTAAAAATGGAAATATGGCTCAAACACACTCGTGGCTTTGAAAATATCGAGAGAGGAAAAAAACGGCGAAAAACAAATGCAGAAGCTAATGACATATAAATTGGCCTCAATTCTCATTGCAGCTACTCTCTAGCGCGCAATTAGACTACACTCATTACCATGGCGCGGCTATTTTCATGCTTTACCGTCGAATTTTGTTTTGTTCTGGGGTTTTCATTACCAATTTCGTCGTTTCACTTTTCTTTTCCCCAGCATTCTAACTTTGGCCCAGTCGGTTATTACCATACTTATCGCATGTAAAGATGATTTGGTCTCATAGTCATGGCCATATTTTGATTGTAATGCTTGTTGAAAAGTTTATTTCGTTCAATTATGGTGGGTTTTTTTCTGTCTTAAATCGATGCTCACGCGAAGAAAGTGAAAGAGGAGGCGCCAATAAATGAGATTTTTCTCATGGTCGCCAAAGAACAAATGCGAGACAAAAAGCAAGGGAAAAAAGTGAAAAGTTCAAAAAAACCACGGAACATTAGATTCAAAAAAAAATTTCAAAACAAGTGACCGAAATGATTGCGAACAAAGTTGACATTTACTAAATACGACGTTGTTGTCGTTGATCGTCGTCGATACGATTGGTAATTTCAAACTGACACGCAAATAACCATGTTTTTAATATCGAAACAACAATGGGAAAGCATTAGAAATGGTTGATTCGATTTCGATGGCTAAATGTCATCGCCCATTATTAATGAGCGAATTTCACCAATTTTCCCCTACGACGTCGATTAAACCGCCAACATATATCATGTGATTTGGCATAATTTTTGCTATTTTGAATCCATAATTTCGTTTTTGTTTGTGTATGTTCAACGATTATTAATTCATACAGCGATTTTCGAATCGCAATTTTATTGTCTTTGTCTTTTTCTCGCATTGTGCTCTTTTCGAGAGGCTCCTTCATGGAGAAGGCGAATCCATTGACAATGGCAAGCAAAAAAAAAAAACGAATACTTTATGTGGGGTAACAAGCATCTCTGACTGCACTAGATATTCTTAGAATTGGATCACACGGGTCATTAAAGTGAGAAAAAGAATGAATCACATCATCTGACGATGCACATTTTTCTAATGATTTCCGATTTATAGCGAGAATTTGTCTATTCTTCACAACAAAAATCTGAAGCAAAACCCCAACGAAACCGAATAATTTCCGAAAACAAGCGTATGGATTCAGGATTTCCTTGAAGATTTGCAAGCAGACAATTGAGATTATAGCCTTAAATTGGGTGAAATCATGATGCGATATATGTGAATGAACACAAACTTCGATTTAAATCGGTTTGCTTTCCTTTAATTGCGCAGCGTTTTCAGAGACAATCATATTGAAAAAGAAAGTTTAAATGATGTAAAATGATTGCTAAATAGCAGTTAATGCACTTGAATGTATCAAAAGAATAATAATTCGCAATTTGAGTTGCATCAATCACCAACACACACACACACACACACACACACACACACACAGAGAGAGAGAGAGAGAGAGAGAGAGAGAGAGAGAGAGAGAGAGGGAGGCAGAGAGAGAGACACAGTGTCTCATCAGTCGTCATCACAAAACAACGATAGTTAATCTACTAAATATACTAAATCGTCATTATAATCATTATTATGGGCCTCATGCATCAATGTCAACGTAATTTGCAGCCATCGTGGAGAGTCATCAGTGTCCAAACCATTGATTACGATCAGCTCCAACGGCGAGCATTTTGTTTACATGACACATCTTTCACGCGCGTGCGATCACTCGCGTTCGCATTCGCGTAAATTTCGTATGCTGCATGCGTGTGGACTGTGGAGTCACATTAGATTTAATTCACTCCGTCGAGTTTTTTCTTTCTGCCTCTCTTCAAATTGACAATTCGCATGAAAATGCAGAGAAGAAGACCGGACCAAACTCATTATGGCGAACGCATATACGCAAATCGATTGTGGCATTAAAAATTGGCCAGAAATTGCCACACTATTCCAAATATACCATTGTGATGGACAAGCTAATGGCGTGTATTACAATGACATACAAAATGCACATTGTTTTTGTTTTAGCGTCATCGTCGTCGTCGTTTCCTCAATTCGATCTCCTCTCAATCAAACAAAACACTGTGCATATGCTCCATTCGTTGGCACGAAAAATTACGGAAACAGAAATGTATCACTCGACGCGCAAACAATGAAAAATGATAGGTTCACTCTTGTCTTTCTCGAACGTTGTTGTTATTATTGTTCCTGTTGTTTTTTTCTTCGCTTCATTCTCTCGCTCTCTGTGTTGCTGCTTTTGTTTTGTTTTCTAGTGCGCTGCGAGCGAACAAACGAATTTTTTGAGCCCCGAACAACAACGACATGCAACCTAGCGCGTTCGCATTTAAATTTATGTATAGCTGAAGCTCAACATGTATTTACTATCAGCTGTGAGTGAGCGAAGCAAACGCTCTCTCGCTCTACCGTTGCCATTTCTCTCTATGTTTTCGTCTGATTCATGCGCGATGTGTTTTTATCGCTTCTATCGTTTCGTCGTTTCATGCGATAGCGCAGCGCGGTTGCACATCGAAGCAACAGTGGAAAGAAGCAGCAGAACACCACTCAAGAGAAAATAGTTCGGCAAATCTTCTGAACATAACATTCGTTACCAAAACGTCGATGTGAGTGGTTGGTGTGCACCGTGAACGGAACCTACGAAATAGAAGCAGAAACTCATTTTTTCTTCATCAACGAGTGACGATCAAATAGGCAACTTGACTCTCGTTTGGGATTTCATTTTATTTTTCAAGTGATTTTTGCGTTTGTTTTGCGTGGAAAATGTGTTAAAATAAATTTGTTAAGTGCTCAGTGCTGCCTTCGTGCAATGGATTAAGGGATATTTTTCAAGGATTTTTTGACAATTTTTTTTCGCGAATCGCAGAAAATTGTTTGTTTTTAATCAAAAAAAGAATTTGCAATACTTTGAGATTTTTCATTCAAACAAGTGAATTGAAGATCGGTATAGAGTTTTTTTTTGAGGAGAGGTGCTGCGAAAATTATCCAAAAAATATGTACTTTCGTGTATTGATAGTGGTATCGCTGCTGAAGCTGAGCGAGTGCTATAATGGTAATTTCTTTGGCACCGCTGAGCTGATAAAAAATGTGCAGCCACGTCGAAGTCGGCTGCTATCGGATTTCGTGGACAATGCTCCGGCAGACAATTCGCGAAGTGGTTTCGTGCCAATTTCAATCCCTTTATCGGCCGCCCGATCGCTTCTCGTCAGCAGTGAAAAACCGACAACAATCGACGAACCGAAATCGACCGAACAACCGGAGGAGTTGAAATCAGAACCAATTGAAGATGAAGAAGGACCCGTTCCGACGGCCGATACAATGCGAAAATATGCTCGCATTTTCAAAATGGATACCGAAACATTGAATGAAAAACAAAAGCTACTTTTGCAACGGATCGTACAACGAATTGCACGATTGAATGGAGCTAGCCCTGACGAGGAGTCAATCGATCTGAATGATAATGAGGGTCGGGCTCGGCGTAAAAACCGTGACGAACACAAAAAGACACAGAAAAAAACTTCAACAACCACCATTGAAGTGGTAACGGAACCAACGAAAACCACGCCAAAACTAAAAACGACGCCGTCGATTCAGAGCAGCAGCAGCAGTGCACAGAAGAAGAAAGTAGCTGCGAGCAATAACTATATCGCAATTTCTAAACCAACGATGCCAACCATTGCATCAAAAATGGGTAAGAGCAAAGTGACACAAGCCAACGATTTAACACTAACGAACGCCACCAGCGTCGATTTGGGCAACATTTCCACCACATCAATTGTCGACATTTTATCGACGGATAATGCACGTGAAAATTTTTACATCCGAAGACCATCGCCATCAACGATCACAACTTTACACAATAAAATCCAACCACAGAAAGTAAGTGTGTGCCATATATATACACCTATTACAATAGATCATATATTGTATGCAAAACACAAAACAGGGCGAACAACAACAAAAATCGTGGATAAATCTTTGGTTTGGCATTTGAATTTACTCAGTTTCTTCTTTATTCTATTGTTCTTACGGTTTTGAAATTATTATTGGCACATGACACAAATCAATAGATTTTAAGTGCAGGTAAATGGATGAGAATTGCTCAGCATGTACGAAGGTTTCGGCGTTTTTTGGTTAAAAGAGGAGTCACGCTTACGTGGCGGAAATAAAAGGTAAAAGCAGACGAGGCAAAAAATTAATTGGGATTAAATTGAAAAACTCAGTTTGTTATTTGCCAATGCTGAGACAAATATCGCATCAGAATAAAAGCGCGTGACCACAATTACAATTCAGTTCAATTCATTTCGGCTGTGAGATCCGTGTGCCGAGATAAAACGAAACGAGAGTTCAAGTCTGATTGATCAAACAAGAGACAGAACAAGAGACCATGAGCGAGCGAGAGAGTGAGAGAGAGAGGAATATATTTAAAAATGAATGTATGGCAATCATACAGCTCTGATTAAATTGTTCGATTTGATGCCGCATAATTGGCATTAAATCGGCGTTTTCATTTCATTTTGCATCTCATGTCCGAAAGCATCGTTCACATCGCAGAGTGAGTGTGAACATGCAAAAATTCATCACTCCCAAATTTAAAAACTGACCCACCAAACTCACAAATCGACCAGAGTATAGAACGATCACAGTCGGGCGCGCGCGCACTCTTTCACTCGCCTCCGTATGAACCGAACTATGCTGATGATGATGATGCGGGACGGATGCAAAGAGAGCAAGAGAAAAAGTTTGTTACCTATCGAGTTTTCTGTGCGCGAACTCATTTATAATTCAATTACATTCGTATTTTCTGGCTGTTTTTAATGAATTTTTTCGGATTGCACAGACTAAGATAACTTTGGGATGTTGGTCATAAATCTTGTGGTGCTCACACACACACACACACACACACACACACATAAACACACAGCGAGCGAATAAAGAAGCAACGGTTCTCAATGGGATCGGATCGAAGAGTCGAAAATAATAGCGCGACGTTATATACCGCAATGTGAATATCTATACAAAACAAAATGAAATGAAACCAAATCACATGAGAACAGCAATAAACGAATTGAATCAAAAACGGCGCACACAAATCAGCTTAAGAGGGAAAAAAGCACATTGAACGACGTACAATATTTTCGATCGTTTGGCCGTCGTTTGTTCTACGGGAACCGACTCGTTGTTCTGTTTCACCCATTTTTGTAGTATGAGCGAGCCGCAGAGCTGAAGCCAATCGCCATGAGACTCGGCTATTGCCATTGCCGAGTAGATACGACTAAATTACTTTAATAACGAACGTTATTTTTCATTTGAATTCATGTTACTGGATTATATTGTGATTGTGTGATTGCTGAAACTTATTGGGTTTATATCGTGTGTATTATGTTGTTGTTCTGCGATACTTGAGCAATGAGCTATATTGCGCATAGCGTAATATTCCATCGATTGTTCAGGTTTCAGCCGCTTTATTGCACTTTATCTTGAGTTCTTTTTTTCTTCGCCCCAACAATCGGAACCGATTCATGAAAATCGAAAACAGTGGCGATCAATGCCAAATGAATCGCGTTAATTTGTGCCCGATTGAAATCTCGTTTCTTTTTATCGCCGATCGTTCTGAATTCCGCACAAAGTAAGCAATCTCATTAATTTTTCGTTGATCGGTTGACAGTTTTCTCTCTCTTAATTAATACAAAAGTCGAGGCAATTTCACTGAATATTCGGAATAAATCGTTGGAAAATTGTAACTGAAATTCCGATTACAAATCGAAATGCAACTGAACGATCGCGAATGCGAGCCGAAAAAAAAAAACAACAACGAAGACAACAGAAGAAATAATCAAACCGCAAAATCACAAACAATTTCTTGGACTTTTCATTAATCCTTCTTCGCACTTGGGAAGCAATCTTTTGTTTGGTTCGTTCATTCGATTGTCGGCTGTTTGTTGAGTGCAGGCATATATGTTATATATAACAAGTCGGAATTCCGCGTTCAGCCATTGGCACACGGCCATATCATATCTTCAAATGCATATAATGGTTTGCCACAAACACAGATTTTTCGAATGTTTTTTGTTGTTGGTGCGCGCGCGCGAGCGCGAGCGCGTTATTTGATTCGATTCGCGCGTTTTGATTGTATGGCTGTGTTGAGGCTTTCAAGAATGGCTGCAACATTTCAACAGCAGACAGCTACGGCAGTCGCTTTATTCAGAGTACTTATGGGTCTAATCAATATCAAGATCATTAATATTATTGTTATTGCTGAACCGAATTCAATATCAAGCTCCATAGCACAAAAATCCTATTCTATGGCAATGTTATTTTTCTCTTCCTCCTTTCATTTGTTCAACTCGATTACCTTTTTTCGGCTATTATGTTGCTTTTACATCGTCATTGCGCTCGCTCGTAATGATCACATCTTATTTTTTTCTGCTTGCATCCGATGTTTTTCGCTATTTATTTTATTCCGGAGCATTCCAAAGAGAGCGATCGCTTTGGATTTTAAGATTCTGTGTCTCTCTAGTGTTTTTCCACACATTTTAGCATTGTAAACAGCAAAAATTAAGCACCTAATGACTTGAACGCTTCGTTAATAATGGTTATATCGTATCCAAGTTCATATGGAGCATGTTTTGGTGCACAACAAACACACATTCGCATCCAAAACAGAATGAAACGAAGACGAAGAAAGAAAAACAAGACCGCAGAGTGTCGCTTCGCTCCACTCTGCGTTCTTGAGATTTTAGTTACTTATTCTATTTTGTTGTTTCACAACAAACTATTTTTTTTGCGCACTACATGAAATGTATTTCATCGAAGTAACTTTGCATTAATATATCATTAAAAGTTGTACTTTTTAATAACACTATGGATTAAAAGCATAGTACGAAGGATATATATTTACAACAAAGTAGGTACAGAAAAAAGATTTTCTCAGTTATCCCAATAATGGATTACGAGATCTTGGTTTAATTTCTTTTTTGAAAGACACTGCCTCTGGTTTAAATTGAATAAACAATATGAGCATAGAATCAAAAGTCACTTTAATTCTGTTCAAGACTCAAAAAAATACTATACGAAAAATTTTAAAAAACATTTGATAATAAAAATTTGATTAGCGTTTCATGATACTATGTACTTATTTATCGTTACTGCCACTAGTTTAAATTGAATAAAAAATATGAGCATAAAATTCAAATTCACCATAATTTGTTTCAGTAGTCAAAAAGTATTAAGACGAAAAAAAAGCAGATTAGTAGCCCTACATTTCATGTAGTGCTAAAAAAGACAACGACAACGACCACAATTGATATTGAGTGTAGAACAATCGATAAAAAATTTCCACGCTAATGCCATTTGTGTGAGTGTATGCAATACAGCATGGACCTTACGACCGAATTTCAAACAAAATACCGAAATATACGGTTGATACGACATGCAAATGATGCATACACACATAATGGTAGATGCATACTACTTCTGTTCCACGCACACACACGCGCGCGCTCTGTGTGTACTAATTTCTTGTGGCGATGGCGCCGCTACTTTTACACATCTTAAAATCACATTATTCTTGGCATTAGCACAGGCCACGGTCGTCGTCATCGTTGTTGTTGTTTTTTTGCCATCGTTTTGCATTCGCAACCATTTTCAATGGGTCTGCATTTTCTTTTCGTACAATTTCAATGGATGAACTCAATGGAGCAGCGGACTTGTCGTCACACGCGTAGATTTAGCATTTCGCTTGATTTAGCGATTCGTTAGTTGCCGAAACATAGTCTATGCAGTCCACTCGATATATAACGTGAAATCCTAATATTCGGTAAGCCGAAGTATGATTTCGTTTACGGTGCCGCACGTACTCAATTCACTTTAGATATAACGTCGTACTTCATCGTAGTAGCCATAGATCATTCAGCTTACTGAATATTAGGATTTCACGTTATATATCGAGTGGACTGCATAGACGATGTTTCGGCAACTAAGCGAAATGCTAAATCTACGCGTGTGACGACAAGTCCGCTGCTTCATTGAGAAGCGAACAAAATATGTTGCATATTGATAGATAGATCTAAGCATTTAATATTGGTTGTGTGCACGGCGTCATGCATCCAAATGATCGCGGAAAAAAGTACTTGTAAATAGAGGCGGAAATACGAGAGCGAATGGAGGCACAACGAAAAAAAAAATAAAAACACGGGCACTCTGATCGAGTGTATAACATTCAGGTAAACAAATATAAATTCTCAAAAGAGCTGTTCGATTGAGAAGGAAAACATCGCAAGAAAAGAAAATATTCACGTCGCCGTCGCAGTCGCCCTGTGAATTAGATCCACCCATTGTCTTTATACTCGTATTTTATTGCCCACACTTCAACGCATCAATTCAGCCAGAAGAAGAAAAATGCTACATAAATCCAATGAATAGTTTTCTCCTTCGTCTCAACAAGCAGGATGCGATGAACGTTCTTTTTTGGCCCAAACGACTTTTGAAACTGTGTGCTGTGCAGAATATGTCATTTCTTCGCCGAGTTGAACCTATTCAAATCGCAATAAATTGCTCACGAGTAATTTGATTAAGTAACATGATTTGTAGGAATATGTTGCATCTCAATGCATGCGAGCAATAGAAAGCCACATAAAAACCATCGCAAAAAATGAGAATCGAACGACATCAACAGCATTCGGTCGATCGCGCTATTCGTAATCACCGAAAGGCACAACCGATTTAAGTTTGAAATATCTAATATAAATAAAAGAGTTTCAGCAAAGACATTGGATCATTAGGTAAAAGAATGGAAACGACGTGAATAAAGACGCCAAGCACACCGTATTATATCGATACAATAGAAAATCCATTACGTTCATACTTCACTATGGATA